TTTGGGACGAAACTGACATAAAGGATTCGATCTCGGTTTTTGAACTTTCCAAAAATGCCGTCTTACTTTTATATTCACATTCGTTCATAATCACGCCTGGTCCTTTATTAGGCCTCAACACGACAATATCAGGGTTTGTTCGTAGTTATTTTAATGATTTAAAATAGTGAGCAGTTAATATGCTTCTCTGTTTTGGTTCAGCATTATGAGATTAGTGTGCCATATGCACAAGTTTAGCTTTACACAAGCTTTGATTATTTAAATATGTAGGGTTTAACGTACTTAGTGAATCATATAGATTTTCAAATTAGGCATTTATCTCTTATTCAGACATTTGCGTTATAGGGACCGAGAAATTAAAACCAAGAGAAAGTGCTTTCTTTTTATTAGTAGATAATACAATCGAAGATAAATTAGTGACATACTTATCAGGATTAACTGGGAATAAATTAACATGATTAGGATTAGTGCAAGACTTTTCGAACTTTTTTCCGATCCTTTCCTTTGTTTTCGAAATGACCAGACTACAAAAGTTGATGAATTTAATATGGCAGTCCATGGATATTTATGTTAATATAGGCAATTCGTGATTGTGTAATTTAATCAAATTGATCAATTTATCTTGGCAATTATCAATATATGATTCTGACAGTCGAACGAGATTTGAAATATTCGATGGTAATTTACTTGAACGTAAAATCTTACATAGGTGATTTGGGAATATGTGACTCGACAAATAAGATTTATAAAAGTTCTGTTTTTCGCATTCCGATACGATTTTACATTTAGGGTTGCCATTTAATATTAAGCTGCGTTTCTTTAGTCAGTCTTACCAATGTGGGATTACGGACTAATTCGGTATTAGTACATTTATCTTTGTTACCGTAATCATGGACCTAATCCTAAAGTTGCAGATCTATCATGATGTGACTACCTAATCTATAAGATCTTACGTGGAAGTCGCAACACTGTATATACTGTCTCATCCCATCGTGAAATCAGCAGCATAATGTTTAGTACCTGTGAAGAACACATTTTGGCTAAGGATAATCTAACTAATTTAGGGTAGAAGAGTACTGGTTACACTGAACGGCCATGTCTACAAAACCTAGCCATGTAATACCGAACAATTGTTCATACAGTCAGCATTACTGACCCACTCTTCTTGTTAAAATGTTGAATGGGAATTTTCCCAGAAATTATATGCTTGGCTTCAAAGACCGTGTGGTTAAAACCGATTCCTCCACAAGGCGATAGAGTGAATTCCAGGCCTTCCTCTGAGTATTGAAGGTCCCGCATGGCGTATTAAATGGCTAGTACATTTGAGTTGCCGTCCAAATTGATGAGTTTTTAATTTCCACTATTCCGGTCTGTTTAGGGTCTCATTAGAGATGCCCTAAAAAGGTTAGTGACTTCTTTCTTGTTGTGAAACAAAGTTTTTGTGTATTTATTGCTTTGAAGCCCACTTGGTCGAGTGTGACGGGACTAATTCCTGTTAAGGTTTGGAACTGTTCTTTAGCTCCACGCTGGTATTACTCTTTCTAGTTGATTTTTAAAATGATCTGTTTTACTGACGAACGTGGATAGTAAAATTTGTTATTTCCTGTGGAGGAAGGAATGCGATGCGATGAGTGCAATAAGTGGTTTCATAGGATGTGCACACGTTTAAATCCCACCACATACCAAAGGTGTTCAAAGATTAACTCTTATTGCCTTTGTATTTTTTGTTGTTCGAGCAGGACATTACTCACCCAATAAGCAATTTAGCTTCTGGCTTTGGCCAGCAGAACCTTTGGTGATGGCTGGACTGGTAACATTGGTACCGATAGCAAAGAATGTGATGATATCGTAAGAAGTGTTATGGGGCGTGCCAGATTTTCGACCGTGCAACATGAAATAGAGAAATCTCTTTTGAGAAAATTAAAGAGTGAAATACCCCCGCATATTGATGGACACGTTTCTGTAGCAGTAACTGATGACCCATGTAAAACTGTTACCGTCCCGAGAAGTCCAGATATAGATGCTCCGGCTGATGGTAAATGGTGGATAGTAAAGAAATAGAGAAAAGGAAAAATAGCTCCAAACCGCGCCTATTTATTTGACAAGGGTTTGGCTGGCTCACACTCTGCGGAGTAGATTACTTAGACAAAGTCACAAAGTAAGACAATATTTGACCCTAATGTTGGAAAAAGTTGTCTCATTGAATATTATTGTTAGTAATACGCCCTACTTACACTACTCTGTTTCAATAACAACCAAAGATAAGCTTCCGGTATAAACAAATAGAATATAACATCAAGATCAAAAGCCGTGAACACGACTTTCAAAGAAGTCAAATCACTTCAAATCTGGAGGAGTCAAAAGATAATGGCTGCTGGAAGACATGCACATGATTTGGGTTTGGTTGAATCTGCAAGAGGTTTCGGCAGTACATATTAAGAAATTAATAAGACTCAGTTAATGGTTTGGAGACGAGACCCATTCACGAAGGATCTTAAAATGAGTACCCGGAAATTATGAAGAAAGAGACATCACATAAAAATCGTGATTCAAATATTCGTATCTGACAAGACTGGCCACTTGAGGATCAAACCAAGTGGAAGAATACTCTAACGAAGTTGAAAACTTTATAGCTAAGTGGCGAAAAACAGCTTTATATTCAGGGTTTTCGGATGGTCAGATCCTGGAAGCCAATACTTCCAAGATCTGTATGGCTACCATGAGTGATCCTCAAAACGTCTTATTTGCGCACTACACGAACGCTCGTAGTCTCAAAAATAATCCATTCAAGTTAAGTTGGATGGTAGATAAATTGTATCTGGATATAATTATTGTCACAGAAACTCGGTTCGCCGCAAATATAGACTGTTCCCTAATCACTGAAATTCAAATGAGAAAGTTATATGTCGTGGTGGAGAAGGCATAATACTATGTGTTAGAGAACACTTTCGTATCCAGTCGTTCACATTAGAGGCACATGATCGTGGTGCATTTGAGATAGTTTGTTGTACGATTAGGTCTAGACTCCAGTTAGTGACTATAGGAGGAATATGGCGTAATTCACGTCGTCTTTCTGACGACTTTCTTAAGTCATTTTTGTTCTTGGAGTATGGCCAAATGTCGTCTTCTAATGAGCTCCATATCACCTGGATAGGGCTTACAACTCCTGGTGCATGTTTTGATAGCAGTCTACTATCAGTCATTATTCGGTGTGCACTTGTGTAATGTAATGTAAAACCGACATTTGTTGACTTCGAACATAAGTCATCATTACCGGACCTTTTCTCTATACACCATCGTGACGACGTCACCGACATTTAGCACCATTATCTATCAGTAAATATTAATGGCGTTGTACTTTACTCTAGGTTTCGGACACATGATCTGCAATTCGCATCTGCTCCATCCCGTTCCAATATCTGGGGAGCAAATATTCCGGCAATCAGAGACCATGCTATCACGACAGAATGGTCGGTCGATGAGGATGCATCGATTGAAGACGAATGGAATAATTTTAAAGACCTATTTGAGTCCGTAACATCGCCGTACATCCCATGGTCAACACGTAGGCTATCATATTGCCCTCTATGGATTAACAAGAAACTCAAAGGCTGCTGGAATTCAAGAAGAACTTCTGGGACTTATTCTTGTCAACAGGCCACGAATCGTCTAAGTGTGAATACCTAAAAATCCAGAATATTTGTAAGGAGACCATAGCTAGATGCCATATTATTTACGAAAGACAGTTGGCATATGATAGCCGTACCTGCCCAAAACGACTGTTTTCGTACATTAAACGAATAACGAAGAGTAGCAGTGGTATTCCTCCATATTGTTGCATGAAAATTCAGATATACGATCTGAATCAGATCTGTCCAAAGCTGAGACCTTATCAAACTATTCCTGATAAGTCTATTCTACTGGTATTGCTAACAATCTATGTGATAACCATATCACCGAAATACCGGCTATAGATTCCGTACATGTGACTAATGAAACTGCTCTTCTATTGATCAGCAACCTCAGATCTGACAAGATATCAGGCTTCTGTTGGGTTACACCCAAGACTGGCATTCCATATATTTATTTACGAGTCTGTTGTTAATATGTTTTATCTTTTTACTCCCTCCAGCACCAATAGTCTTCGAGGTATATCAGTCTTCAGTCTTTGGTAATAAGGATAGTAACTTGAGGGACCTGTGTTAAACTTGATAGTTTTGCCTTACAGTAAAGGTACAGTTCCTGCTTGAAAATGTTCACTGATGGAGCTGATACCACGTGTTCGGGTATGACGTCCCAGTCATTGACCACTCGATGAGAAAAATGGGACTCGAATTTAAGTTCAGTCGATCGCGGTCTGTGAACTTCCTCGCTATGACGTCGGAGATTATTAATGCAGGAGTGTTCGAAAAGTTAAGACAAATTAACACCCGAATTGTAATCAAAGATACGAAATGTTAATATAAGGTCACCTCGCATCCTACGATACGATAAGGAGAAAAGGTTTAAGCGTTGTAAGCGCTCATCGTCAGGGAGTTCAGAAAGATCTTTCACTTATTTTGTCTCTACACGCTGAACACACTCAAGTGAGTTAGTATCCTTAATCAGACATGGGTCAGTCGCTTGGATACAGTACTCAATAAGATTCAAAAACTGCTACCCAATAAACTTAATATGCGGTTCTGTTTTTCTCATCGAGTAGTAAATGTCTGAAACGCCTTACCTGAACAAGTGGTATCAGCCTCGGCATTGAACATTTGAAGGAGAAGCTAGACCTTCTCTGGAAAACAAACTGTACAGATTAACACAGGTCCATCAACCTACTATCTTTATTACTGAGGACTGAAAGACCATCAGAAGATTTATAACTTCACTGCTATTTTAAGACGGGTTTTCGGAGAGTAAACAAGTTGTCGTTCCTGCACATCAAAATTTGAAGCGCTTTAATCGCATCAAATATGATATAAGTCAGCTGGTGTTGGCTTTTTAAATTTATTGCGATGTGTGATATTTTCGATGTAGTTGAGGAAGTAGTGCTCACTGCAAACAAAGACGTATTTTAACCTTAGTTCTCTCATTTCAAGTTACTTATAGTTAGCATCTTGTAGTGTTGGGTTCATTGAGCGGTATGATAAGAAAGTTGTGGTCATATGCAAGACGCTTTTCCTTTTTGACTGTGATTTCAAACAAATCGATTCGTACGAACATGGTAATTCAGACGTACTATAAATTACTCTTTAGATTGCAACATTTTGAAGGTGTGTTCGCCGTCAAATGTTGTGTTCCTTTTCTTTCTAGATGAGCAAGGTTTATTAAACGTTTATCTTCCTGAAAGACACGAACTTGCATTCTCCTTGGTAAACATTGAATAAGAAAATATTTTTTCAGACTCACTTAGGAAAAATTTATGACTTGCAACTGGTGGCAACGTCATCAGGTAGCATTTCACTGATATTGACTTTCTTAGTTAGTTTTGATCTTTTCCTTAGATCCGAGGATTCGTTGTTGTTATGGAGAGATATTAACTCTGTACAACTGCATTCAGGTAAGATACATCAAAAGCAATAAATAATCTGCTAACTCCATTATTTTTCTTCACTTCAGAACTTGTTGAACGGAACTTTGACGGACTTAAAGCCCGTTTCAGATTCACTGAAAGTGTAGTTGTAACAGGAAAAATGTTCTTTTGTTGCCATCTCGATCCTACAGTAGTTTGGAATCTTCAACTGGTAGGTTACTCTGATTATTTCTCTACCCCAAGAAAACTCCGGGCTTTGTTACAACCTGTGTAAAGGACTCTGGTCAATTCATTGTTCAAAATCTCTTCGATCCATTCTCAGCCATTGATGAGTGTGTATCTTTTCAAAAAGTTTCATTAATTTGTGACACAATTTATTGTTTGGCACTTTCCTACTCGGTAGGTCTCTAATGATATTAAAACCATTCTTAGTTCGTACATTATATTTGATTGTTTCTTAGTAATTTCTTAACGAGAGAATTTTATTTAGTACCTCGGATTATTATTTATTTATTATTTATTTATTTAAACACATATATATTGGTACAAAAGGGCACCAGGTACATATGCGCCACACAAAATAATGAAAGTAGGAAGAGAAGGGATGAAAAGATAAGGCGGACTAAAATGTACAACCAGAAGACTCTTTCAAATGGGAAAGTAAGAACTATACTTTATGTAGAAAGTAAAAGAAGGTTGCAGCAGGATCGCCACTGGCTTCTATTCTGAGCCATATCTGATAACGTCTCTAGCCACTGTGTTGCACCATCTCTCGGACCCCAACCAAGGAGTCGTGAAGGACCAACAGAAGCTAGCCCTTTGCAGCTCTCTTTCATGCCACGACACCATGTCATACACTGACCTCCTCTCCGCTTTTTCCAACCAGTCCCAGGGTCGGCAAATAATACACGACGTGGAAGTCTCTGGGACGACATTCGTAAAACATGTCCAAGCCACCGAAGTCGGTGTTTCAAGATGGTGACACCAATTGAATTATCGTCTCTGTGCCCGAACACACGATGCCGAACCTCTGCATTACTAACATGGTGTTGCCACTGTATGTCAGCAATCCTTCGGAGACAACGATGATCGAACACAGAGAGACGTCTAACATCCTCAACTCGGAGAGGCCAGGTTTCACAAGCATAGAGCAAAACTGCTCTCACCGACGCGTTGTAAATCCGACTTTTTACAGCCAGACTAACATCACGAAGGCGCCAAAGATGGCCCAGATTGGCATAAGCCGATCTGGCTTTCCTTATACGTGCATCAATCTCATCACTCACGCCACCACCAGCACTTATATAGCTACCTAGATACACGAACTTCTCAACTACTTCGATCTGCTCACCATCCAGGGTGAGTACAGGATTAGAATCCTGCCAGTCTTGTAGAAGTACTTTGCACTTGGAGGGTGCAAAACACATGCCGTACCTGCGGACACTGATTGCCAACTGATTAAGTGCTGATTGCATGCCTTGGGCATTATCGCACAGTAAGACAATATCATCCGCATACTCAAGGTCGAGAAGTCGTTCTCCAGGCAACATATCCACACCGCCATTACTTACATCCACCAGAGCTGTTTCTAGGATGTCGTCGATGGCAAAGTTGAAGAGGAATGGTGAGATCGGGCAACCCTGCCTAACCCCACTGCTCGAATGGAACAAGGGAGAAAGGTGGTTGTATGCCCTCACTCTGCCTGAGGTGTTCGTGTACAGGGCCTTTAAGATGTTAATGAACTTCTCAGGCACACCCTTCTTCAATAGACAATCCCAGAGAACAGTCCTGTCCAACGAATCTAAGGCAGCCCTGATATCAAGAAACACTACGATTGTTGGCCTGCGATAAGTATGACGGTGTTCTAACATTTGGCGGAGGGTGAAGATGTGATCAATGCATCCTCGACCAGAACGAAAACCAGCCTGCTCCTCGCGAGTCAATCGTTCTCGGGTTTTAAACAACCTACGAAGAATGATAGAAGCCAATAGTTTGGACGCAATCGAAAGTAGACTTATCCCCCGATAGTTATTGCAGGAACAACGCGAACCCTTTTTAAAGATAGGGACGACTATTGACTCATTCCATGAAGTTGGAACACTTTCTTGCTCCCAAACCTTTCCAAACAACACAGTCAATTCCTTAGTCAGAAAGTCGCCACCATCTTTAAAAAGAGCCGGAGGTAAGTCATCTGGGCCAGGTGATTTGTAGCGCTTCAAGAGTTGGAGTTCCTTGCGGACTTCCGCCTCGTTTGGTGGAACAGTCGTCACCGGCCATGGGGGGCAGGACAAACTGGTTGATGTTGCCGGAGCAGCAGGCCAGTTGAACTGCCCTTCGAAAAATTCCGCCCATCGTCCAAGACGTCGGGAGATGTTAGTGATTGGCATCCCATCATCCTCGTAGATTGTTTCACTCACACCAGACTTCTTGCTGCCAGTGGCTCGGATGAGTTGGAAGAGCTTCCGGCAGTTACCAGATGCAGCTGCTGCTTCCATCTCATTAGCACGCTCCGACCACCAGTCTTCTCGGTCCTTACGCAAGCTTTGCCCAATTTCATTACGTAACAGCGGCTTTACTCGCCATTTTCATGGCGTCGTGAAGATGCAACCAATGCTCATCTATACTTTTCGGTGGGGTGTTAGCTAGCCTAGAGGCTAGCTCCGCTCGATACTTACTTGCAACAGGAGTTGCAGCCAGTTTACTAATATCAATCCGTTGGTGGTGGTCAATCCTTCGGCCACTGAAAAGTAAGGTGAGATTGGCGCAGACCAGGGCATGATCAGACTCCAGATAGGTACTCCAAAAGGAGCGGCAGTCTTGTACACAACCACGCCAGCGGTAGCTGATCGCGATGTGATCAATCTCAGTCCAGGCTTGGGATGCAGAGGGAGGACGCCAGGTGGCACACCGGCGATGACTGTGCCGGAAGTTAGTGCTGGCCAGAAACAGGTTGTGGTCTGTGCACAGTTGCAGCAAACGGTCCCCGTTATCTGTCCTGCGACCAACAAGTCCCCATCGGCCACCTAGACGACTCTCTTCTATGCCTAGACGCCCGACCTGTGCATTCAAGTCTCCGGCTAGTACTACAATATCTGTCGAACGCGCTTTCTGGAGAAGAACAGTTAACTGATGGTAAAACTCATCCTTGATTGCATCCGGGCTGCAATCTGTCGGAGCATAGGCGGAGATGACGAAAAGACACCGTTTCTCACGCCGGTTTCTTCTCACTTTGATGGAACTTTCTAATCTAACAGCACATAACCGACTGTTAATGGGGATCCAATCGATTAGTGCTGCCTCAGCCCTAGCGCTTAGTGCGACGCCAACGCCAGCAAGACCAGACGAAGATGCCACAGGGTCCCCGGATAAGCGCACGTGGAACAAGCTTTTCGAGGCGACAGATGGAGAGCGGATTTGTAGTACTTCACTAGAGTCTTGAATACGGGTCTCGGATAGACAACAAACATCAACATTAAGACCTTCCAAAGACATAGCCAGCCCTATCTGTTGTCTGATCTGCATTAGTGTGCGAACGTTGAAGGAAGCCAGCTTGAACGGCGTACGTGGTTTCAGAAAGACTGCCTCAGTATTCATTATCGGTGGAAGCATTCACTTTCAACCAGACAGTGACTGGAGATCGTTTGGATAGGACAGATTTTCCACCAAGAGCGAGCTGCTGCATAAGTTGAAGAGTAAGGTTACACAAATTGGGGATAAAAGGGGGTGAATTAGCGATATGGTAAGTAATAATAATAATAATAATAATAATAATGTAAATTGTCTTGCTTATAATATGAGCAGGAATAGAATCGTCAATAGAGTTCATCATTTCATTCATTTGTGTGTGGGCTGTGATACTGCCCGGGTGCCCAAACCGAAGCAGGTGGTTTTCTTAGGGGATCACACCCCGAGCCTTTGACCTAAAGGTCTGATCCACAAGGCAGTGGAGCATCGTGAGGAGATGCAGTCCCATGGTAGCCGTTGACCAATGACAGGTTCTTCCGCCATTCGTTCCATCAGGATACTGGAGCCCATGTGCACCATTGGTTTGGAATAAGGGTTTTCCAACTCCCCTAGGTGGACCCTCCGTGTCCACCAATCCGGTTATAGCGCCGGACATTCGCTTTTCGTCCTCTCACTTTCGTAAACAACACCCCCGCCACGAGAAGGCAGTGAGTAGGACTTCCCTGGCAGAGGCTATATATTCGCTGGCCATGTGATAGCATTTGGAGAGGGAGAGCGGACTCTCCCCACTCTCGGCCGTACCAGGGCATTTGGGGGCAAGTCTGTGTCGGAGGTGGGAGGTCGGATTCTTGATGAAAGCTAACAAAGTATGCATGTGTGTTTATGCAGCTAATTTTTTTTCAAGTGTTGTGTAGACCGGATAGCTTAGGCCATTTGCCATTAATTTGGTCGCGTTAGGTAGTTTGCAGCTTCTACGGGTCAACACTAAAACGTATAACTTATTTTTGAAGTGTGTGGGATTACAAGATACTTGTTATCCTCAAATATCGACTGTATTGCCTTGTCGTTTGTATCAAGGAACGTTTCAGTTTGGTTCGCCGAACACTGATACACCAGTTCTGAATGTTTCTAATGAATGGACAAGGCGAGTCCACCTAGGGGAGTTGGAAAACCCTTATTCCAAACCAATGGTGCACATGGGCTCCAGTATCCTGAGGGAACAAATGGCGTACAAATCAATCGTTGATCACCGGCTACCATGGGACTGCATCTCCTCACGATGCTCCACTGCCTTGTGGATCAGATCTTTCGGTCAAAGGCTCCGGGTGTGGTCCCCTAAGAAAACCACCTGCTTCAGTTCGGGCACTTGAGCAGTATCACAGCCCTCAAGCAAATCGAATGAGATTTGTGAGGCGCATATGTATCTGTTGCTTCCTTGTACCAATATTTATGTATTTAAATAAATAAATAAAAGGTAAAATATTCATATTCCTTTGAAGCGGCTAATGCATATGATCTCATTCTTCACACCTAATACTTAAAAGTATACAGATCGTGTTTATTTATTTCTATTTCATGGTTTATTAATCCTTATAATAGATGGTCATGGTAATCTTGCTGTTATATTACCCCAGAGAAATAGTTGGCTTGGGCGCTTATTGGGTATCAAAAATTAAAAATTGAGTATTCTCATCGTATATAAATTCCTTATCGACATTTATAATTAAATCAGATCCAAAAACTAATCGTGACTTAATCCTCGAGGAGTAGTTATTATTTTCAGAATCGTCACGTACTTGAAATCCATACATATACCCAGTGTTTATCAACTTAATTTGCTCCATATGATGTATTTATGTGTTTAAAAAGACATTTGATTAGGAGTGTTTTACTGATCAGTCAATTCGTATATAATCATTCCTCAAAATGATTTCCTAATTTCTTGTTGAAAGTCATAAAGTATACCACTTTTTATTTCACAGGGTCAATTATTCTTGTTTAATATATTCGCGAGTGTATGCTTAGGTTGCCTCAATCAGTTTCCCAAAGTTCATGACTTTTATATTTGTCCAACAATCAATGAAAATACATCCGTTGCAACTGCTGAATGTCCGGGCTTTCATGAAATAACGATTGCTATTTTAAGAGATCTCGAGGAAAATGATCGACCCCCGCCTTCTGGTCTCACCAAACTGCTTGAACTTATCTTGTTCCCCAGGTTAGTGATTTTCCGTGTCTTCCAGTGTTACTAAATATTTATATCTATGATGTTTACACGTAAGCTAATCTGTCCGGCTTAAAGAAACTACAAACAAACCTGATTACCAAGAAATCTTGATTTTTAAAAGGTATGTTGTTAAAAGCAGCAATAAGACTAGTTAGGCCACAGACCTCATGGATTTGATCATAGTATATTATCTTCAATTCAGTATGATTATTTTAACGTTTAGGATAGTCACTGCAGCACAGCTACTATGTGTTACTTCCGAAATATTAAAAATATTTAAAGATCATGATGATTCACAGAACAGTCCATTCGTAAATATTTGAGTCATATTTGACATTATACGTTTGAATAATCTTTTTGAGCATCTAATTGAAAAAGACGGTAAGTTAGAACGATATATCACACTAAATAGTATGATTGTATTAACGCCAGCTAACTTTTCAAAATAATAACCAATTTTAGGTGTTTTCACCATAACTAAAAACTGAGTTTCATAGAAATCTAAACTGGTAAAATTAGTAAAATACTTGTGTGCTTACTGTATTTCGCTTATCAGGTGCGATTTCATGTATTGGGCTTTGAGACATACTTTTTGTAAAGACTAGTGTTTCTATTCAACTACTCAAATTAAACTATGCGGAGAAGTTTAAACCTGTGATCTAATGATTTGAAATCGAGCGCGTTAATCAATAAGTCACCAATGCTTATCAGTAATTATTAAACAATATTAACATTGTCAGAATGGGGATTTATGGAGATTTTGGTAACTTTAATAGTTGGATTCATGAGTCCTATCTAAGCTAGACCACCATTGAAAACGCGGAAGCACTGGAGGGCGTTTCGTTCTAGTATGGGGCTCCAGCAGTGCACATCCACAATCCCTCACGCGGGACTCGAACCCAAGACCTTCGGTTACGCGTGCGAACGTTCAACCTTTAGACCACTGAATCGGCATTCAACGGTTTTGATGTCTAACTTCAATTGATCCATGGTATTGCGCAACCGTTTATTAACATTCACTTAACTCGATGTTTGTATTAAGTATAATTAACCTACACTTCCCCACCTCTTATAATAATGGCAATTATGGGGTAGTTTTACAGCCTTTACTTCGCTTTCTTTAAATGTAGTCATTTTAATTTCGTAGTTGTAAAGAACGAAATGTACGTAATATTACGGTCTGGTTTGTTTGACCATTATGTTATTCCATTTTTCGTTGATTTATTGACTTACGTGCACCAAAATGATTTAAATATTGGTAGAAAATAAAACTGACTTTTGTGACAAGTACTATATAAAATGTTTATTTTTGTATATATATGGATGCAAAGGTAACTTATAAAGCTATCAAAATAGTCTTGTTACTCAAAAAGTTGATGGAGTGTTTATTAAATAGAAAATTCAGCTCAAATACATGGTGTTTAATCAACCGTATCTCTGAAAAACTGTTCATGTATGGTGAAAATTTGTAGTGCAAAGTGGAGTAAATGTACCGGATCAACAGTCTTTAGTCATACAAGTGCGAAAAAGTTGTGTTGATATTGTGTCGTTTAATCGCCTCTTCTAAATGTAGACGTCATCTTGTTCATTTTAGCTTCTTATTCGTTGTTTCCTACTTTTACCGGACAATGCAGTCAAGAAGTGTGTTATTGTCGGTCAATACTTATTTCTGTCTTGTATCTTATACTGCATCTACAATTGATAGTTTCTTTATTGAACTATTATATCGTTCTCCGTAACTTACGAGATAGATGTATACGTAATTAGCTGCATTCATTAAGTATTTGGTAATTGCCTTGAAAAGTGTTTGGTGCCAATAAAACACAGAAGTTGGTTGCCTTCAGTAATCAACATGAGTACTGAAAGTAGTCTGTTTCTTACAATTATCAGGTCATCTTCGTGCTTGGTTAAGGTTTTTGTAAATAAATTATAAAGCATTTATGCGCGACTGAATTATTTATGGCATTCCACCATGTTATTTGTTTCCATCCTATCATCTCCATCGTCTGTAAAAAAATTTTTTACCAAATTTTGTTAAAAATAACCAGTTATCACTCACCAAATGGCTTTCAGTTTATCTGCGATAAGTCCTGATGTTTGGATAAACTAAAATAAATGTATTTCCGATATATATTGTAGGAAGCTATTTTGGGAATCTCTAAATTTATAAATAGTAGGCTTATTTTATCGTTTTAAAACCGATTCTGTTTATCATTTCGTGTGTTTAACAAAACAACGAATTAATTACTCATCCATCTTTAGAAACATAAGTGGAAACTTTCTCACCGAATACTTTTTGTTTACCATATTCTAGCTATCAAGTTATATACCAAATACACATCAGCAATGATTCATGGCTACTTTCTGATTATGATGTAGGCAACTGTAAAGCCATTTCTTCTGATCCCAAAGTACTGTATGCGGAGTTGTTATCTAAAAGTCCCAATGAGGTGACTGAAAACTTCTTTTTTTCTATCAAGGCATTAAGGGAAACTAATCCTAAAGAGAGGTAAGTGTGTACTGTTTAAGCTTGTTGCTATTAACTCGATTCTAATATTGGTTAGACTTTAGCTAGTAATATTATCTCGTTGATTCTCTTGTAAAAATTATATTATAAGTAGGCTTTATAATATGGGTGCGTAGTATATACCTGTTCCAATATTTTCGTCACCTTTTTGGTAGTTTAATTAAATATGAATAGACTGAAAAACTGTGTAGGTTTATTTCATCTGTGGCTGTTACTAGGTGAGTTAATAAATGACCTGTTGGGTATAAGTTTCGATTACTTAAGTTTATGTGTTTGGATACCAGTAATCGAAACTATTTTTGTTGGAACTGAGATGGTTAATCATGTTGAACCTTTCAAATACGTTTAAAATATAGAAACCTATTATAGCAAGTTAACGTTGGAAGTTTCATCATGTGTAATGGCATGAACGTAAATTAACTATTGTTTCCAATAAAATAACTTCATGATGTTTTCACTGTTCTTAGGATGTGACCATACAATGTATTTCGTCCCATTTCACAATCTGCTTTTCTTAAACACACATTTTTCGAGGTTTATTGATTTATTTGGTCCAAGTTTTAATTATAATCAGTGATCCATGTTCAGAACTAGTCATTGTGGCAATATGAACGTCTAATGGTTCGCACACAGTTACAATACCTGGTTAAATTAATTATCAAAAGGTTTCCAGCTAGTCGTTTTTTGCTTATATGCATGCGATCACCACAGCAAACCTTTTGCTGACTCATGTACTTTTTAGAAATACTAAGTGATAATAAGTTTTATTGATGTGTAAACACTGTTTCTCATTCTGTTTTAAAGATTATCGCATCTCTTAAAATCTAAAAATTTTGAAGAAGCAAGGTTACTTGTTAAAACGTTCAATCTTGACTCTGAAGTAAGTTAGTTTTGAATCAAAACAAAGTTTATGATTGTTATATATATATATAAACGTCAGCTAAATCTAATCTAGTTCTTTTATGCTTTCATTTAGTGTCAAGTAATGCTTTATTTACTCGAACTCTAATAGTTTGTTTATTTTTTCAGATATATTTATGCTTAACACATATCGAAGAATATAAAACATTTTTTCCTGCTGTTTTTAAAAACCCATAGGCCTGAAGGCCAACTGAGTAGTGCTTGTTTACTGTGTTTCGCAGGAATAATTGTATTTCAACAAAGATTGTTTGTATCAAGATTTTATATTGCAGCTGTTTGTTGCTTGCTGTTACAGTTTGTCAGTATGCGAAATAATTAGGCAATCAAGAGTTTTACTATGATAACTGACAAACAACAGTATGACTGCGCGTATCATTTATTTCTTCAGTCTTACAACCCAGTCCAGTTAAATTACAAGATTCTTGTTGTCACTCTTTGTACTTCTGAAAACATCCTCAATATGTATAGTAAGTGATACAACTGAATCGTTTGTAATGGCGTAGGTGCATCCATTCTTTGTTTTCCCCCTAATCTTGAGTTTAATTGCCCATAACTTTTTTGTGCTTCTATTTCACTCATTTGTTTTTTTCTTGAATCGTATCTTCGATTTCTAATCTTTTCAACTACCACTGACACTTACTCTCTCTACTATTCTGGGATTCGCCCTGATAATTCCATCTCTCTGTGTTAATGGGGTATAGAAACCTGAACCGATGTATATATGTATTAGCTTCTACGTTGTAGATGACTAACTAATGTGAGGAATAAAATATATGTTGTCCATGCAACACCTATCATACTAAAGTATTTGATAACCAGGTAATGCAAAATAAACTTTTATTTATTAGCCTTTGAATATGTTCATTTTTATGCCATTTAAAGTTCCTTCATTTGCAAAGCGATAATCCTGATAATAGGAAAGTATAGCTTAATTATTCATTACGATTTGGCTTAGAATTATACATATGTACTTTAATAGAATGATAACTGTTGAATATTTCGAATGAAGTATTCAATTTATCAAAAATTGGATGTGGTTATTCGTCAACTTCATTTCATTGTTTAAAGATGACAACTTATGTTATACTATACCACGTAAACCTATAAAAGCGTAAGTATACGGTGAGTTGTTTGCTTGGCAATTTTCAAAAAGCCGACTATTTGAATAAGAACTATGTATCGTATAATTCGCCTTGTCGTCATAAATAAATGAATTTCTGTTTTAAAAAGCAACTCAAAATTCATGCAGAGTACTACCTACTCGGCTTTATGCATCCTGTTGTATGAAGATTGATAAGGATACATAACTAAGTTATTTTGTTAATATGCGATAACTTTAACTCCCTAATAATAATTTCGGTTATTCAGCAATGTTTTTGGACTTCCTTTAACCATTCACGTGTCCTAATAAAATTTCGGTTATTATACGGTGTCAAAACAATAATACTCGTTTATGATGTGACGCTAAATATTTATAACTCGAGTGGTAAATGTTATTACACTTTTGTCGTGCTCAGATGTCGACTCTCGATAATTAAAACTTTTGATTTTAGTCTATAGTTCACCCCTAGTACAATTTCAAACATAACGCTTATCATAAGAGTTTGTGCGATTTTCTAGTGTCTTGAAACTCATCAATTTTCCGTTTTGTCTTATGAAGGATTTTCAATTGGTATTAATAACCGAATTGGAATTTCTAGTGGACGCCATTCATAGGCAAGATCAAGATAACAATCTCCTTTATCCCAGACTTCTTACATGTTTGCAACAAACTAAGGTAAGTGATTGGTCATGGAGTGTTTACTCTGAAGTTCGTTTGTTGTCAAACATAATTCTCGTTCAGCTTTATTAAAAAATCCTGTGATCTAAAACAAGTCCAGAATTTTTTTAATTTTGAAAATCGTGGGGGAGATTATGCGGATTGTAGCTGTAGTCGATCATTTATTGTAATATGTTACTAGTGACTTGATATTTGTAAAAGGTCTCTAGCTTCTGTGTAGTTAGCAATAACAGGTAATATAACTAACTGATCAGACACATTTTTTTCATTTCTATGACTTCCAATTAGCAGATATTCATTTGTCTAGATTAATTCAAGAGCTACTGGAATAACGCTGTTATTTTAAAAGTTTACGTGGGCAACTTTAGCGTAGATCACCGTTATCTAATCTTGGTTAATATGTGTTGCCTTCTTTAAACACATCCAAACGAAAAGAATACTGTTCAAAGAAAGCTAACATTTGTATGTTTTGACTTTTAGTATTATGAGTTAGATTTTTTACCACACAGTGTTTTTTAAATTTGTTTTTCAATTAGAAGTTATGGAAAAATTTAAAGGTCGTTGCGTCGATTTTGCAAATCACTATGATAAATTCAGATGATCAGTTAAAATTACTTTTAATTATCAAAGAAAAGGTTAGTCTCATTACAATTTCTACTTGTTCATTTTAATTAGATAGAGTATCGAAATGGTCCATGCTATTCTATCCTTTGTTTCTAATCTCTGTAAAATTATCCATTCTATAGTTCGTACAAAACCCCAGTGTTGACTGCCAATAAAAATCGAATGAAAAATATCGAGGGAAATACTGCGCTAATTGACTTGTATGTTGATGTAACATGAATTAAAATGATGATACCACAATGGTGTCACAGGATAATAATACCGATAGGTAATAAGATAAAAACACTATTCGCTAGGTTGGTTAATGCGGCTGAGAACACTATATCACGATACTAGGTCAGATGATACACGGATTCACAATGCCAACCAACGACTAAGTATCAGATAATAGGCTGGGCATTAGTTTTAATAACACAATTACAAGGAGTCCACACACAGTAAAACCCGGAACAGAAACCCCGAGTGAATCAGAGTTACAATGTAAAAGTAGTCGTTAATATTTCGAATTACCGAGTAGTTGTTTTTTCCCGAATCATCAACCAATCACGGCTTGATCTTATCTGACACGTCACATATGTAAATCAGCGCTCTTGAAATAGTTCAAATTAGTTAATAACTAAATTTCAGGTTTTGTATTTCTTGGAAATTTCATGTAGTACTTCAAAAGAATTCGCCATTTTTAAAAATTCATTTATTGATTGTTTCTTAATTTGCAATGTTAGTGTTTCTTCTGTGATACTGTTTTAATCAGATATTATTGAGCTTAATAACCACATATTTTTTAGCTGAACTTAATCGAAAGGATTTTACCGAAAATAGGTCTGATCTCCCTTAGCTCAGAGCTCTGCCAATGTAACGATAGCTGTTTGTTAGTATATTCGTTAAAATAATAATCTGCGGGTTAAAATGTTTTGGAAAAATATTATGCTACTACTCATTAGTAAGTAGAAACGTCATTTAAGCAATATTTTGTCATCAGTTTAGCGTGTGTCATGGTACGTGCTAAAATTTTTCCTTTCTCATGCGGTTAATTCAGCTAATCATGGATAATCCTGAAGATATTTCTACTGCTCATGAGGACATGGGAACGAAAGTATGTTTTGATCTTTTTTGACAATTTTTTGTTGGTTATTTGACACCCCTTTTGTCTCTTGTTAGAACATTAGTTTGTCGTTGGTTTTTTGTTTGTTTTTAAAATCCCTCTGATTTGCATTTAATTGATAAAAGTAGTTGAATGTATGAAAATAACCAGTTTTTTAAAATCATGTAATCCGTTTCATGTTGAACTGATTATACGACCATTAAAAAATGATATAAATAAATGCGCATTTTTTCGTTACTTTCTCATCCGGCATTGATAGTTATCACCACTGTTATCCCTCAGTCCATTAACCTAATAAGCTCAATAGTTTAAGAAGCATCTCTCCTGAATCTAGACTTTGCTGTCCAGCTTGGGTTCAATGGGTTTCGCTGATTTCGAGAACTGCCAAGTCGTATCTCTTCCTTTCCGTTGCTATTTGACTAATCTTCTCGGTCTCACACGTTGTCGGGAAGTTCTATGTACCTATAAAAATTGTTGTTGTGGTTGTTAAAAGGGGCATCGGCCTCGTGACTCCCAAAGAATCTCGGCCTTCATCCTTAGGCGTTATAATTCTTCCTCCTACTCCCAGGACAGAGTTAAAATGGTTCAATTTGTTTAACCTGGCTGACGTTTTTTTAGCAAGATTTTCTTCTACGGGATGGGTTTGCTGACTCCATGCCCAACCCTCCTCATTTACCCGGGCTTGGAACTAGCAGAAACTCTAGACGTGCTACAGGCGGAGTTTTCCTTCATTGGTAACATTTGAAAATGCGTGCAAATTTGTGTCAAAACGGTATATCTCTTCCTTATGCAGACAATGTTTATAAAAAATCAAGTTAAACTCTGTCGACAAATAATTGTCTTTAGTTATTGATTGTCTGTACTACCTATTAGTCAATCTCTTTATTTCATGATTCATCAGAACATCTATTTGATGATATCTTAAAGTCTAAGCAAAAATCTGACACATTTTAGTTATCTCAGTGCCTGTTATTAAAATATAAAGTAATTTAATTTAAACTGATCAATCAATCACAGGTTCGTTTTTCTCAATGTGATGCTAACAGCCGTTCATATTGAACCAAGTGTAGCGTTATTTAGTAATGGATTTACTTGATTCGATGACTGTTACACTCACTGGTTTTCATTTTAAACTTGTATTTAGCTCAAATTTTAATTTTGTTTCATTTTATTTGATAAGATATACTGTCTATGTTTATTTGAATATGCTTTTAGGTACTTAATTTACTGAAACGTTTAAAGGCATTTTTAATGATTTATGGTTCTGATAGTTATACGTAAGTTTTTGAAAAAAATTGTCGAACGAGCCAAGTTTTTCATTGTAAAACTGATCAATTGTTTTGAATTATTAATGTTCTTCCCAATTTTCTAAGAAGTGTTCATGATTAACTTCGCTATTTAGATAATTAATGCAGCGGTTAAATTAGAAAAGCTATGTGATATTGAGTACTAACACCACTTTCTAATAAATTTCAGAGTTTATATGTTCTCATTCTCATTAAATTTCTTCCAGTTATTTGACTGTACATCTAACTTTAATCTTCTAATCGTACTTAACTAAGCTAAGGTTGATGTATTTTACTTCCATTATTAGAAAATTAGCAAATAGTTCAAATTCGAAATTTTTTTAATCTTAGTCTCAGTCAATGAATTTTCGTGTTATGAATTATAGAACTGTAATTTGCAATGAAAAGACATTTAAGGATTGTTAAATTAATAAGTGAAATACACTTATCGGTTAATACAAACTATCTGAGTGATTACTGCCTACAAAACTGGATTACCAGTGTTAGCCTGTAATCGTATTGATTTCAGAAGACAAAACAAACGTTTATTAGAATAGATTTGTCTTCTAATAAAATACGACACTTATAAACGGAATATTCGGCACAAGAATAAACGTTTTTAAAAGTCATTTAACAAATGAACATTTTAAGAGATAATGACAAATATAAGTCAATCACTCTCTATTAGAATTACTCCCTAACTATTAGGTTTAATTTTTCCCGGTTAGATTAGTTCATTACTTATTAGCTCATATTAACACTTTTATTTAAACTTATAAAATTCCTTTAGCTTGCCTAATTGATTATGAAATTTAAATAAAAAGCTGATTCTTATTTTAACACTTGCTGTAATAGTGATAACGATAGTTATAAAACAAGATAGTGACCAATGGAATTATTATGAAATAGAATTTAATCCATTGTGGATCAATCAAGTCTTCAAGTTGTGAAACTATTTTCAGGCTAGTAAATACCAAGAGATATTCTTTAGGTTTCCAAATATTGTAAATTTTAGCTTCTAAATGGAGTTTGACACTATAGGTTGATAGTGTTTGGTAATTCCTACTATTTTGTAGGTGCTCAGACCTAAGATATAACTGATCAACGGTACCGTCTGAAAGTAATAAGTTATCGGTTTCACCCTTGAGAAGGAAATCAGTTTTTTATGTCATTTAAATTTTAAGATTAGTGTGTGAACAAGTGTTATCTCACTGAGGTTCTCGTTATTGATTTGTCGAGTGCCTATCGAAGGAACGGATTTCATGTTGAAAGCTACTAAGTCACTAGTTTTATCTGTATAGTTTTGATAATCGTTGACTTAATTAGAGTTTTAAATAAACACTATCGATAGAATGCTTTTAATAGTAATAATAGCAACCATTATTTACCTACATTACCGTATTATGTGAACTAAAATATATAAGTAAGCAAGTCATACTATTTTTGTCCCCGTGTCTGACTCTGATATGACTGAACGAAGATGCTAGTGAAATGTATAGTCTATTTGACTTCGTAAACCTGCTGATTATTCGCATTAAAACGACGTAAAAATAAAAAGTCTGATACGAATCGTATTTAGGATATTCATATTTTAGAATTTCGTATGAGCAGGCAAAATGAACAATTAAATATGAAAACTGATTGGGTTCAGACACGAGTAACTTTAAAAAAGCTGCTCCACAAGTAACGAGTGACTTAGTCTTTATATAAAGTGAATAACGTATGGATTATAGACTACCAATTGAGTATAGGTGATAGACATATATAAGGTGAGCACAAATAAAAATTGTTAAAAGTTAAAAGTGAACAATTAACAAGAGTACATTTTTGAAAATAGACGAGGAATGCTCTAGGCGAATCGAGAATACAATATAATCAAAAACATGGAACAAATCCATGAAGTCACTGACAAGTGGACTGAGCCATTTTGGTAGGTGTAGACTACCTAGTTGGGATCCGCGAGACGATAGCAACCGATGGTTAAAGACCTTGAATGACATGGCTCAAAATCGTTTGCCATGGCGAAGGTGCATCCACTCTTAGTGTTCTCCCAAATTCTAATCTGAATTTTCCATGTCCATTTTTTTCTCTAAATTTATGTCACTGGATTATACTTCAAACTCTTTTCGATTACTGCTTATACTTTTACTACCTCTACCACTATGGGATTTGAATAGACAACTGGATCTCTGTGCTAATGTGGTATGGCAACTTGAACTGATGTACGTACGTATGAAGTTCTACGTTGTTACTATCTATCATCTATCTATATCACATTCCCACCGCTTCTGTAATACATTTGGATCGTATCCACAAGTCATCTTCAATTTATCAAGAGGAATTCCTTATTCTTCCTTGTGCTTTAATGACTGCGTGTTACTCTGCAGTTTTTAAAGGAAGGAATGATTATTAGATATCAAGTGAATGAAGACTTAGTTGGAGAGTCGGAATGATAAGTTTTTTTAAATATTCAAGTCAGATGAATGCTAACGAGATAGAGTATTCTTAGTATATCAAGCGCCTTATGTCATTGTCAAAATGCTGCACTCAATCGGTATCTCCATTTACCTCTGAATAAATTGTACTGTTTGCTGTCAAGTAGGTTGCTTAATCTGTCATTAATATATTGACTTGCCGAAGTGTGTATAGTATTCAACGAGTCAACTCTTCTGAAAAGTACTTCTCAAGGTATTTGTTATTCGAAGTGTCGGAAAATGTGCAACGAAATTTTCCTCCAAAAATTTATTTTGATCATAAGTTTTATTAGTTTCTACTGGTACCCCATACAAAAGGCTTACTACCGTGAAAAAGTTTATGTAAAAATCGTGCTTTATTTAATGCATTCAAGTTTATTATACCCGCTTGATTTTCTTGACTTACCTTCAGCATAAATCTCCTGTGTTTTTTTTTTGTTTTAGCCCAGAAAATTGGATTGAATTTCGCGATGCAAATGTTTATTCTATATTTGCTCGTCTCTTTCTTTCTAATTCACCATCTTCTGAAGATAAAGCATCTGATCCAAGTCAAGCATTTTTATTTTGGATTCTGTATAAAGTCAGTTACTCTATTGTTGTATCTGTTTCATGCTTAAAAGAATCTGAGTAATGTGAGCCAAAATTTATTAGTCTATATCCCGCCTTATTTAGTGAACAGAGCATACATATAAATGTCTTAACCCAACAGTCATAGTAAATATTCCTAAAACAGCTCCATTTCTTCGTCACTCACATGCACTTGTCATTTAGCCTATGTCTAATTGGTTCACTGTATCAGTTTATCCGCAGTATGTGATGTATTTATCCGATATATAAAAAAAATTCTCAAGTATTAAGATAATGAAGACATAGCTCGAGCTATTTATTACTATTTAATGGTATAACATGCACAAATTTGTAAACTGTATTTACCTAGGGTGGAGCGAAAACAACTTATTCTTCAAGTTCCTACTTCCAAATTTTTACTGAACACACACAGCTTTTTTCATTTTGGTGAAAATGTTCTAACCAGTTACTATGTTATATGAACTAGTACAATTACTATCTATACTATATCGGGATATCGCTGTGCTTATGTATTTCCGTGACTTGGATCGCGGCACATATTCACCAGGTTGTATGTTTCATATGACTGACTAATAGGTTGTCAGATTGTTCGATAGTATTAAACATATAAGTTTAAAGAATACCGAAAAATTGTTTTACTTATTACACTTTAAGAAGAAACGAGGAATTTTTTCATTGATAACTTTAATATATAAATTATGCAGATAGCTAGTTGTAACAGTTTACAAATAATATTTGATGAAGAAATCGATGTTAGAATTCACAAATTAATTCAAAGTAAACCTCATTCATTGGCTCTCAGTGTATTCTTGCATCCAATAAGTTATTTAGTATGAAGTTCGTTATTTTATATTTAATGTATCTACGTTGTATTAATTAATGCATTGTGAATTGTACTCAGTAACAGTTATTGTATTCTTAACATATAACTGATAATTACTATTAAAGCGTTGTAACATGTTAAATTAGACCATCTCCGAAATCGCCCAAGAATTATCGAAAGAAACCAAGTAATAAAGGTTTTTTCATTACGTTACAAATTTTTACAGTCAGATAATTTTCGAAGTTTATAACAATCTTCCTATGGTTTATCTATTTGGGTACTTTTTAAGAAAATGCTTCTCTAAATAACCAACATATTCCTCTGAAGTTGGATTATCATACTATTACCATACTAGAATGAAACAACTGTTCAGTGCTTCCTGGCTTTCATTGGTTGTCTAGCTACAGTCAGTCCGTGATGCAAACTAAAATGTTCAACAATCTCCACAAACTTTTTTTATACGTATAATGAGTATCTTTTATACATTACACTAACCCACTTAGTGCAATACGACCACTTTTCGCTAATTTTTAACTTCAAGCAAAACCTGTTGCGATAGAAGTAGTTCCTTCCTAGTCCGACGTAGATGAGACAGGGTGTGAATATGGAAATTCTTAATTGATTTCGTAGACTAAATCATATAGCTGTACTCCCGTACTATATAAACCTTAGACATCAAAGATAACTGGCGCTCGAGGATCAACAATAAGTTTTGTTTGACCAAAGCGAAAATAACAAACTTAACAGAATAACATGAATTCATTTATTCCATGATTTCTCTTCAGCTGCTTACCAGCTAGAATTAATGGTGTTAATTCTTAAAATCAAATAGTGTCAAAACTTTATATCATAATATCAGTAACGTTCTAATCGATTGATAACAATTAAATGACAATAGATGTGAAATATTTATCTGGGATTTTCAAATTATCAATTATATGTGTTAAATGGCATGAAAATTCTATGCGTTAAAATTTCAAAGGCATATGGAGACAAGTTCGTAAAAATAAATATTTACAGTTGCATCATAACAATTATATAAAGGATTGCTTATAAAAATAAAATGTGTGTAGCTCAAAAAACAATGAAGAAAATAAACTCATAGTTGTAAGCACAAAATGTTGCGCAACTACACGTCGGAAACTGGGGCCATCGGTGCAAAGCAATAATGACAACAGCGTCTTTTCGGATGCGTGAGTCCAGGTAAAGCCTTTTTGGAAATGGCTTTGGCTTCGTTCTGGTCCGCCCATCTCCTGTGTCAGAGAGAGAAATAGAAAGGGGATGTGCAACAAAAACTCCAAGTGTGTACACAATATCAAATGGTTTGAAATGATTGACTTTTAAAAAATGCAATGAAATATTCAGCACTTTATTATCATCACATAATAAGAGTTTTTGAATATGTTAGTAAACTGAGCAGTTACGGATATTTTTTATATAAAAAAACAATTTTTCCATTTGTAGGGTGAATTATCACAGTTTTTAACATGGGATGCCCTAGAGCTTTTGTTTAACTTGCTATCCAAACGACCTCTAACCTGTATTGTATCTGAATACTCTTGTGATGATAACGTGGGTTTGCCGTGTCGATCAAAGGAATTAGAACTTTTGGAGTCTGAAGAGGCTATTCAAAAGTGGATACGTAATGAATTACTTCCTGTTGTTATCAGACAATTACCAGAAACTTTAGTATGTTTATTTTGTAACACATAACTATGTTCATTTTAACCGATAATCCGTTTGTTTAAAGCCAACTCTGTAAACCTCTGTATCGTGTCATTTTTTAACCAGTAGAGATAGCTTAATCAGTTTACCGTGTTGGGTAGAAAGATATTCATATGTGATATATAAAGTCTATTAAGTGTATTTTCAATATGTGACCGTTTAATTTTATTTTGTTTCTAACTTTTGTTTTATCTAAAAATTCTAATAAGTATCTACAATGGTTAGCTATTTTTCATTTAGAAAATTGTTCTAGTAATATATTTCCATTTCGACTTTCAATGCTATTGTACATTCTGTATAGTTCATTCAAATGATATGTTAGAAAATTATCTGATATCAAGCTACAATTCACTATTCCAATTTCGTTGTGGATAGACATCTAAAATCTTGCAAACTCTTGGCAGATGTTATCAGATACTAACCATCCACTTCATTCATATCTTTCTCTTTTTATATCTTCTGGTAGAACGAGACGTCAATACATATGAATTTATGCATAAAATCAAAAGTATAAAAGCTCTACCATATCTTATCTAGCAAATATATTATGTGCTGAACAGGTTGTTAAAGTTGACGTAGTCAATAACTTGTATTCCTAAACATGTTTCTGATTGAAAAATTTGTACAGATTCAAATCTTTTAAAAAAACATTTAATTCCAAGTAGTTTATCTACTTAACTCATGCATATATGTGTGCAGTTACCAGTTTCTTCCAACTTTTTTTGTTTTTTTGCAAAAGACTAGTTGAAATACCTTGTGCTGAAAATTCTATAATATGCCAAAAATATAACCATGAATAAAGCCATTAATGGTAATAATAAGTGCTATGTGATTTATTCAGGTTTGATTTTCTAATTAAAACACAGACTTCAACGATTTATATTTTTAAACTAGCCCATCTTAGCTAAATATTTAATTCAACGCGTTAAAGAACTGGAAGCTTGTTCATTCACTTCAAATTCTAATGTTCATATACAAGAGAACAAAATTAAATGTCCTTTTTCGTGGCCTTCTACAGCGATTTCATGGATTAATAAATTTTTAGAATCTGTAAATATTTCAGAATCAAACAATGAAGAATATTATCTTAATATTGGCAGTGTAGCTGATTTATACCTTTCTGGTATAGCTAGTCGTAATCCTGATGTTGATCCATTTTTTGAATTGAGAAAATTAGCAAAACAGTTGGATACTATTAAACTTTTGCGAGACGTGTAAGTACTCTTCTAATATTTTCCTTTTCCAAATTTATTTTGGTATATATTGAAAAATTCAATAAAACTAAACGTAAACACTTAGAATCATTGCAACACGTAGACGTAATCAGAAAGTTTCCAGAACATCCTGAAAAGTATGTATTTAATCATTCTTCTACTAAGCTTTCGTCAATCCAAATGCAGGCCTTATCATTGGGTCCCAAGTTCTGTAACAGCACCTTCGAAACCAGTAGACTTCTTTCGTATGATCTTGTGCCAGCATCTCCACAAGAACTTCAGCATTTTAAATCCACATTACTGGACTATGGTTATGGATACATTAATATAAAATGTAGTAAGAATAACGTATTAACTAAGAACCATTTGGATCAGCTAATACTCCTGAAAATAAATAAGGATTTGATCTTAAGTAAAGCTGATTTTCATATATATACTAATGTACAGCTTGACAATAAATTCGTTGAAAAGACATCCCTTCACTGAACATCGTGTTTTTAATGTTCAAATGGGAATTATCTGTCATTCTTGCATACCGAGGCTTTACGTTTGTCCGACTGCAAACTAATCATTTTTACCTTTCTCAGTATTTATTATTCTATAATTTATAAATGTTCTCTTCGCCTATTCATTATTATTTATTAGTGGGTTTATGGAAGACTAATTTGCATATGGTGAAAGTTTCTTCAACCTTCTTTACTGAATGGCTGGGAAAATACCGGCTGCCATATAGTTATCTTCCACATGTCATATGTGGCACAGACAACATATTCTTTAACTTTGAAACATGATCTATGGTGATAGGTTACTTGTTTTACGCATCCCATCAACTACAGGACCTAGTACCCTGCTCATCATTGATGTAAATGAGAAGGCGAGAAACATCGAAACCAAGACATGCGTTATGATCACCCAGTTTAATTCAATCACAGTACACATGTTTTCTAACTGTTAATTCAACCAACAAAGTGAGAAGGTTAGGAATGCGTAGAGAGCTTGAAACCAAACGTTGGGTGAATATATACATAAATCATATATATATGATGTGTATGAAACTACCCTACCTATCACCTATCACTTTTGAAAAGTTTTTATTGTTGCACCGAGGTGAGGTCACATCAATATGTTGATTTTTTGTTTGTCAAATTCAATCGGTGCTTGTGTTTTTATACGACTGATCGATTGCCTTGCAACAGATTATCCACTTAGACTAATTTGTTAATTACTAGTATTTGAGCTTTTCATTACCTACTGAGATTTTCTGTGCTTCATCTTAAAATTTCGTCTTCCTTAAAACATAGTGTCTGATAAAAATCTAACCGTTCTCAGAACTTTCACCAATTACTTTGATGAAAATTAACTTCACTTTTCTGCTGGCTTTTTTTTCATGAACTACTCATAAGCCTATCTCGGTAAATCTCCTAATACAAACATATTCAATTACGTGGCTTATGAATCCAAAAAATTGAAACACTGAGTACATATTTGCAATACTGAAACTAATAACCAAAGGGAAATGTCACTATTAGTAAGTGCTTGAATTATCTCACTGCAGATATTGAAGACTAAATTTAAGTCACCTTTGTTTCTTTACATTCATTCTGAGTGGGTTACTTTAATAGAGATATTTTGTCACAATTTTGTAAAACAAATGGCTTGTGGCCAGCAGTAAAATTAAGGATGTTCATTTTGTCTAATTTGGTACTGAATGGTACTTATATCCTAGTGTTGAGTTTTACATTGGAACTCGGATCTAGTGTCTGGATTCCGTTTCCAACTACAATCCATCTATTCTAAGTGAAAATTTACCATGCATTGGTTTGTTCATTATAGTGTGTAAATTTAAAATCTTTTATTTTCTATTCCAGTATTAATATCTGGTAAGAAAGACAAGTGGTTACAAATAGCGATCAGTGGTTTTTCTCCAAGAAAAAATTGATTATATCTTTCTATTTTCATTGTTGGCTGCTAAAAATCTTTATATTATGTATCCTGTTACTGTTTTAGTTAGATTACTTCGAGTACACAGGTTAATGCATACGTAATCTCTCCACTGGGGTTATACAAAATTTGCACTGAATTAATTTTATATCTTTTTAAAATGTTTCCTATAGTGCAGTTGCTCCATGTTTGTTTTCATCCCAGGGAACTTGCAGTCTTGAAATGGAACCTCACATTTTGGATGTTTTCATCAACAAATTAATACCGCAATCCATAGATTTATTTATTAAATAGACTATATGTGTTTAATTTTGAATTACGATTTAAATATTACTGAATATTGCCAAATTTCAACTTTAGTTTATGTTAATAAAACTTTTTATCACCTTATTGTACTGTAATTTCTTTCTTTATTTCCAAGTTACAATTGTCAATTGTCCATAGACTGTTGTGAAGGTGAAACCGAATTGTCTATTGCTTATCGTATCCTCGATGTTGCATTTAATCTCGGTACACGTTTTGACAATGGTGTAGATAAACTAACAGCACGATATTTGAAGGTAAATGACTATATACAATCTATTTTAGATTTTAATAACACTTATTGTTAATTTTAATAAACTTACGTCTCCTCTTCAAATAGGTGGACATTTAGGTACTCAAAAGTGAATACTTCACTTTCTTTTAAAAGGTGGAGGCGTAAAATGTAAATAATTTGTAAACTTGATCTAGTATTTAAGTGTTATCATTATGATTTTGAAGGGTATTGTGTTGTACATTTGTACCTTCTATGATTGTTGACCATTTTCTAATTTTTTGCTTCGATTAAGTAGTAGTTGATTGGAAATGGCGTAGTCTACATATTTTCGATTTGACTTTTTGTATCACTAAATCTCAATAATTCAGTTGGAACACACCTACGGTAAACTATTTTACCATTATTACATTTTCTCCTCATAGACGTTAATCAGGTAGATATCATGCTAAAATATCTTAATTTTTATTTTAGCCATCAGCACTCAGTAGCTCAGTAGATAACATGTCGGAGTTTGAAGTAAAAGGTAATTTGTTCGAGTCTTAATGTGAACATCAACACCGAGATGCAGGTACATCCAGCTGATGAATTCCAAATCAGATAAAACCTGCGTTCTTTTTTCCACTTCCTGTGGTCTGTGACTTGAAGCCATATCGGAGAATTCTCTCAAGATGGGCATACACCGACATATACTTATCGACTGGAATCCTAAATATCAACAATGAGAAGTTACAGACTTTACTAATACTTTAGGTTTTCAGTAGTGTCTCATTTTCTTAACTAAGTGGTGTAATCATGAAGCTTTCATTGTTTTTCGAGATAACGTCGTCTGTGCGTACTTCAAACGGGAGTGAGATCTTTGATTATTTCACAAATATTAAGTTGATTCTTTCTGACGATCTAGTTTCTGACTGGTTTCCTTCATAGCTTTTATATTTATATATATGTATATTTATATCCTTGTTGACTCTTTCGTTCATTTGACCCAAACTATGTGATTGATTAACCCTTTCCACATAGAATGATAAGTCTGCCCTTTACCGATTTATCTGTCGATTTTAGACTGCCTTAAGTTCCAAGTTTATTAGGATTCTCAGGCACTTCTGCAATTTTAGCCATACCGAATGTGCTCTAACAGTTGCAAACATGGATTAATTATAATCGTATACCAGTGGTCATGCGATAGTAGAAACTATACTACGAAAATTTTGATTACCAATTTAAGTAATACAGAGTCACATAGGCTTCTTGAATTGAGTCTGTAAAATGCTAGCAATATGTAGTGATAGATATTTAGCTAAACTCGAAAATTGGTCACATTTATGAAGCTTCACCCTTTAGTTCTAATTCCAAAAAATTAGATATTCATATTCTTATTTACTCTAGTGCTGTTGATTAGTTTCATTATTTTTTTCCTCATAGTTAATTATCTCTCTCCACTATCTTAAACTGTTATAGTCACAATATTTGAATTGCATTGTAAGATTCCAGACTGTTCTTTTCCTGTAACCAACTTCACATTTCTTGTTTAATTAGATCAACAGTAAACAATTTTTAATATACATTCGTTGTTACGTTTACTTCATCTCTACGTGTACATTTCTTTTTACTGCTGTTTACATGCGTTTGTAATTTTGGCTGACAAAGTTAACATATGGATGTGGGAGTGAGATGTACAGTATTTAAACAGTGTTGTATCCCCTGGCGAATTATGAATCATAAGTCTGAGGTCCATTTATGGACAAATGTAATATGCCCATTCCCTATTGGATAGTTGGTAAATAAGTGACCTAATCGTTTCCGTGTTCCTCTCATCATAACCTTTATTTTGACCTTGGAACTATTATTATTGATTACTTTCCCCCTAGCTACAGCCACATTGGCCAATTACTGTACAAATGTTATTTTTCTATTTTTGATATATGTGGTCTGTTTGGTTAGTATGTATAACCCAGTATGCTTGTAAATAATGATTCATATTGCTGAGGCTGTTATTTGTGTTTTGGACTTAACGGGCTGGGCTAAGCAGATAGGAAGGACCGAATAGCACCCAAGACTGCTCGTACGTATTTTCTGTATCATTGCACGTTCAGATATATTATAAGGGCCCAGAAATCTATACGTTATATCAAACAGATTGATAGTTTACGTAACACAACATTTCCTTGTTTAATAATTAAAACAGTCGGTAATATGTAAGAATATAGATGCATTACAAGTGTTTTAGAAGCACTACAATATTACAGATTCTAGATGCGTTTATTAGATATTATTTACACAAGCTTAATCTAACTTCATCGTTTCAGATTAATCAATTACAATTATAAATGTATACCATATAAATCTTGTTGTGTTATAACTTTTTATATTACGGATTTCAGGATCGTAACATTGATTGCCAAACATTCTTCCAAGGTTACTCGTGTGATCTAATCAGTCGAATTCGAACGGCTATCCATTCATCTATTTTAGATGATGATTGTCCTACAGAGTGGCTTAAATCTTCTAAATGTAAACAATCACACAAGAACACTAACCTAAACCAAGATCCCCATGTTCTTGCTCAACGAGCTTGTTTGGTCGCTAGCTGGATAACAGTACCTTCATGTCGAATGAAAGTAGCATTTGATTTGGCTTCAGTTGCTCCCCTACCGTGGTCTGATGATCTAATTGCACTAATTGAGAGTATTCTTGGTCAGGCTCGCATTCCAGGTTCCTGTTCACAATATGTTGATGGATTAACTCACAAAATGAACAAGTTGGAGCGCCTTTGCAACATTGCCCGCCTTCATGAAATATTTACTAGGTAATTTTTTATGATTTAAATATTTTGTATGTAATTTATCAGTCGTCTATACTGAATACAATATTTTAATGATTTCCCATAAAAGTGACCAATCATAGCGAAATTACATTATACATATCCTCATCCGGTTTTTTTTCAGGTATGAACTAAAAGAGTTCAATCTCAGTGATGTTGGTTACAATAATTCCTTATGGCTTGCTGATCAAGCTATTTCTCGTATTTTACGATCTAATGAAGGTCCTTTCGGGACAAATACACCTTTTATTACTCCACAACTAACTCGAAGTGATCCCGTGTATCGTGATGCTACAATTGTAGCTCAAAAATTACTTGATCAGTTACAATGGCCTCTGTTATTTGCACAATTATACACGGAATTAGCACTTTTCAAAGTTATCCAATCAAAAGAATTAGAGATCACTAGTTTTCCAGATGATTATGATAGTCGTATTTCGTTTTTCATTATTCATTTGAATTTCATTGCAAATGAAACATTATATGAATTTTTCAACCGATCTGGTAAACTAGAAGAAACACATACATTACAGTTTACATTTATAAAAGATTGGTTGATTCGTTTAACTTTTCGTTCGATGAAACAGCTATTTCAACATGGAGATGTTCTTATTCCACTTCAGGTAATTTAATAGCTTGCAAAATATTATTACATTTATTTCTAAAAAATATAATCATAACATGTTGCAGATATGTGTATAAAATTAGGTTTCATAAGTCTTTGAACATAGAACTAAATTATTGGTGATGCAGTTATATATGACCTCAACATAAAGACTACTTCTTAACAAAACAAATGCTTGGAAGTCACATTATGAATTGATGTTTACTATGATAATACAACACTTTGCTGAAAGTCACTTGACACGAATAAGTGCTAAAAAAGTTTTTTAGCAATTTTGGTTATTAAATGCAAAAGTATTTGTTATAGTGAAATACTTAAACACTTGAAATTAAAAAACAAAATGGAATTTATAAGCAATAAAAATGAATAAAACAGATTCAGTTATTATAAGTAGCTTGTACCGGTTTAAATGATCTATTTTTCTCTATACCATCATTAATTATGGGTCCATTAACGCCGTTAATGTGTGTACCAAAATGATCAATAGCTCACGCGACATTCTAATCTTTTCTCCAATCTACCAATCAAAATTCCAGGCAGACAAGGCACGTACACATTACTCACCATTATTTTTCAGTCTTTAGAACACACGTGACTATAGAAGCATAAAGTACATCCTGACGTGCTATAAATAATAAAATCACTATGTAAACTGCATTTGTGGTACAAATATGAAAAACATGTTTATGGTAATTACCACCATTCTGTCGATGGCTAGTGAGGTAAACAGAAGCTTACAATTAGGGAAATATAAAGATATCGTAACCGAATTATCGAATGAATACAGATTATATATATCTGAACAATGCCATATTTATAGCTTATCGCTTACTAACACTACTAAATAAACCACCTTTTAAGTAAATATGCATACGTTTATTTAGCTTGTGTTTTTATAGGCTCTTCATATTCCCTTTATATAAGTACAGTAGTCTTCAAAAGTCATCGGGAATCGAACTCAGCCATGTTAATAGGTGTAGAATATCTGGTTAGAGTCTTAGTGGTTACCATAACCAGTTGTTTGTATAAACTTGGGGCTTTATGGCTCACAATCGTTCAAGTGCATTCATTCGTCTTCCCTTAGAAGTTGAGTCCCGAAATCTTTTTTTTCTATACCTAATCTTTTCTGCTACCATTGATAATGTTACGACTACTACATTGCTACAACATTACCACCTATGGATATTTAAACGTAGAGATTTTCGTAACACACCGAATTTCATCTATAAACACATTCAATATAATTTCTTATCAATTGTTTTTGTCTCTTCTAGCGTTCCTTGATTGTTGATCTCGGGTTATCGTTGGCTAGCATGAAAACTACTTTAAACTCTAATGAAAATGTCAAGAATTGTACACAAATGAGTTGGCGTCATCTAATGCAGTTTACCAAATTGTATATAACTTCACCTTCAGATGAAAATAACTCGACTAAACCAGAAATGTCAATTCTTCTAGAACTTTTTTCTAATGAGAAATGTGTATTTGGTTTATTAACTGATCGATTATGTATAATAAGGCGTCTAACAAAACTCTACATAGAACAGGTGTATTCTTCTAATGAATCTATGGAAATTGATAAATTATTTGATATCCCTGTAAAATTACGTTCTAGCTATCATTTTTTACTACCAGATCTTCCTCATGGAATACGAGAAGAACTTATAACTTGGCAATGGTTTTCAACATTATGTTCTTCTATTTGTTCTTCATATGAATCATGTTCGCAATCAAATTTAACAAATGATCATAGTTCATTCATAACAAAAGCATTCCAGATTCAAACGCTGTTAGTTAAAATGACAGAAATATTGATGAATAGTAAGTTTGTTGTATTTGAATAAGTTAGTTTTCTACTTTTATTTATATTACTGTAAAAAATGATATACCATATACGTCCTGTTTCTTTTTTTTTACAGTTCATCAAACACGTTTGCATAATCCTGTCAGGAAAATGAAAAATGAATTAGTCAAAATTTCCTCAACATATGGTTATTTAGTGCCAATTTGCTGTTATTGTCGTTGTATTTGGAATCGACCACTTGCACGTTTAGGTTGTATCATTGAACTCTATGTGTTGCATGTATTTCCATTTTCAATGAGAGTTGTAAAATCAATACAACTTGATGAAACAAGCATTCATAAAGCAATTGTTAACATTATTCCTTCAATTTTATCTACTTTTTCATCCTTACTATTATGGGCTGGTGGACAAGATCATTCGAGTCCTGTGGTTGAACAAAAGTGTATTTGCCGTATGTTTGGTATGTCACATTTGATATCAATTTTTTTAGTAATTTGTTTAGTGTATTGTTGTTGTTATGTTAGACTTTATACAACATTTGATTATCTCCCATGTTTGGCCACATAATTGTTCTTTGTTTTATTTATCAATATACTCACTAATTAAATACTTTATAGACCTTGAAAAAATAATTTATCTTCTCATAAACTTGTAGTCCATGAAACAAACACAGGCGCCTAAGATTCTGGTTAACTGAAAATTCGTTGTGAAGTTGAGTCGACTTTTCAGGAGACCAAAACAAAATGCCGTTGTATCGGTATTTGTAAATGATCTATCGATATACGATTTGATTGTTGTAGTTGAGATAAGATTAGTGTATTTCAAGTATGGTTTATTTGTATCCAGTTGTAAATTACGACTGTCAGTAGTGAATTAGTTGAAATCATTGAGTTTTGTGTTGCTAATGTAGTGTTTCTGCATTACTTCTTGTCGTATAAAATCTCTTTGCTCCACTCTAATCTATCACTGGAAATGTTTAATCTATTTTCTAAATTCGGGTGGCATAATAAAATGACGAAGCCTAATTGAAATAATCTATTAATATATTTATGCCAAGCATTTCAAACAATCTGAACATATTTACTTTCTTGACTTTCTTATCTTAAAGTGAAATAAGGTCAGTTTAATTAATTGTGATAGTGTAGCTTTATCACATATATTTCTCTATAGTAATAATCGTTTTATTTAAATCACGTTTTTAATGTTGTCCTTACACTTAATGAGTTGACATCATGATATTTTCTGTATTATGTTGGACTGTGAATGAAAGTCTACCCAAAAACCCTGTACCCCCCCCCGTACTTTTCAAATTATAGCTACCCTAAAGAGGTTGACGTTTATATTCGGAAATTTAAACATGCATATTTCTCTGTTGTATTTATAGATGTTTGCAACTTCCTCAATATTGCATATACTTCTCTCAATAATCACTTAAAAGCAAAAACTATTGCCTCTCTGGTTTGTGTCTATAGCTTTAGAATGTTCAGCAAATGGTTTTCGTATAGTTTGTCACACATCAACTTTTACACAAAATTGATAAGAAGCAGTGAATGCTATACACTCCTCTTATTCTTAATGTAATGAAAATTAGTTGTTAATGTACATTGTATAGAAATTAATTACTATCTATAGTCAGCTAACCATTGTCTCTTTGTTATAATCTTCAGCTTTTCAAACAAATTTATCGTATTTGTCCCAGTTCTTCCCATAGTTGGTCAAGTATACTCTAACAATAACCATGAATAAGTAGACAACTTTCGAATCTCGCAGGGCGGGATCGTGGATGCGCACTGCTGAGGAGTCCCACAGTAGGATGAAACGACCGCCCAGTGCATCCAGGTTTTCCATGGTGGTCTAGCCTCAATTGACTCATGATCTCAACTATATAAAATTACTAAAATCTCCACAAAACGCCCTTGTGGTTTCTAGAGAACAGTAATTTTTTTGAGCAAACAGTCTAACGCTTGAAACGCTCAATTTTGAATTATTGTGTTTCAGATTTGGAACCCGCTTTACCGCACTTTGTAAATTTTTAGTCTTCACACGAAAAATATTTTTCAAACCATTTTTAATGAATTACCGGCCGCTGATTACTAAATTATATTTATATTTGTTCGTATATCTTTTTACTTGTCTAATTGTTTCATGCGATAAAAATTATCATATGAGTTATTTATCATGGATGTAAATTTATTTTCATTACATTAGCTTTAACAAATGAATTTCAAGCGCTTCGTCTAGTTGTTTATGCATTCACTAATGTTTTCAACCAAATCAATCGTGCATACCAAGTAAGATAGATTTTCATGCAGTCTGTAAATATGTTTTCTTTAAGTTATAATACATCAAATTTAGTGATAATTAATGGTGTAATGAGAACTAGTCCTTTTGATTTCAAACTATATATTTTTCAGTAAATATCATATATTGACAGACTACATTGTTTTTATGACTTTTCTACAATTAATAACGCCGTTACTTGAATAACATGTATTGATATCAATATGTATGTAGCTGGGTGACTGACTGATGTGTGTATACATTTTCATAGTTTATATAGATCATTTCAACATGAATATAAAGCTTTCTGCTTGCTGCTATCAGCCCAGGAAAAATACTGAAAATAAAGTAGCTTTGTGCATCTGTTTGATCTTAGTTTTGGATTATTTAGAAGTGTATATTCATTCAAGAACTGTAATTCAGGACCAACTCCAACTTTTATAAGCAAAGATGGATAGTGGCTAGCAGTGGAGTTCAGGACGCGCGTTACGTTTACTGGGACTCGTCAGTTGGATATACCTGCATCTTAATGTTGATGTTCACTCTGGGAATCGAACCCAGTATCGTTCGCTTCAAACGCCATCGCGTTATCCACTCAGCTACTGAGTCCTGATAACCACCTGCTTGTGTACTGGGGTGAAGTTAAATTCACTTGATGTTGTTTACTTATATCTTCCCATTGTTATTTAGGACTGCAATCGATCAGTCTCTTGTTGGCATATGCGCATCCTGTGCGGACTGTTTCGATATTGCCTGAAGTCTTGAGCTTTATAAGCAAAAATGGATAGTGGCTAGCATCGGAATCCAGGATGTGCGTTTCATCCTATTTGGGACTCGTCAGCTGGATGTACCTAAGTACTAGAGCTGATGTTCACTCCGAGACATCTTTGCTTATAGTGATTGTGCCTTAAGGCAATATCGAGGCAATCCTCACGGGATGCACATATGCCAACAAAAGACTGATCAATTGCAGTCCCAAAATAACAATGGGAAAATATAAGTAAACAACACCAAGTGAATACAACTTCAGGTTTGTTGAAAAGTGTAGTATATTTAACCGATTGTGATCCAGTAGTTTATATTCATAATTTATTCTATTCATAAAATTACGAGTCTGTCATCTGATGCCATTAGTTTTAGAACAATATCTTTCCCGACATAATTCGACAAAATAATTTGAAGTCTTAGTTTTTCCTTCAAATGTACTCTTTTGTGTTTGCAATGATCAATAAACCAATTTTATCTAAAATATGCGTCTTATCTTCCTGTTCTACTGACTGGTTTAAAGAGAGTATCTTGGATATTTGCTTTGTGTCATATTTGTTCAGTTTTATGGCTGCCGGTAATACTTGGCATTTGAGAAGTTAATTGTGTGTATTATTCATAGTAATCCTAGTACAGTATATATAAATTGAGGTTTGTGTTCTCTGAGCCAGATGGCTTAATTGCAGAGATTCGTTGTCCTTCATGATGACATCTCCAACTTCTTATTCTTTGTAGAAGTGTACTTTTCAATTATTCCTCGAGCATTAAGTCAGTTCGTCCTGATGACCTTATTTGTAATTGGCTATCTCTCTACACTTTATTGTCTTCATTTGTCCTTGTGTCTATGTCGATTACTTTTACCAACTAACTTTGTGACTGATTGACCGATTCCCTATGGATTCATAGGTTGGGTCTATGTCGTCGTGCCTGTTAATTTCTAATTGATCTGAATAACGTTACGCGTTGTCCAGAATAACAATAAAAGTCACGCAGCTCATATATATATATATATATATATATATATATATATATATATATATATGTATATATATATATATACTTCATAATGTACAGCATTGATTTTCTTCATTTTTATATTTCACAACAAAAATATTTTACGATTTTCTTCCACAACTAATCGTTCCATTGTTTCTTCTTCTTTTTAAAAACAAAAATGAATAAATAGCCATCAAAATTGTATGATAATGATCTTCTAGAATGCGTGTTTTATACTTCTTTGTATCATGAACAAACTACCACGGATATAGTTCATTCGAAATTACAATCGAGTCACTTTACTGATTCTTTGCAATACCTTAAAAATTTATTGGAATGGTTTACACATCATTATTCACATGATGATAGTAACAAAAGTGGTAAGCTATATATTCTTCAACGTGTAAATATATATATATATATATATATATATATATATATATCATTAACCTGTTTCTTGCGACTGTTCTCTCTTGTTATATCAATAATCAGACATTAAAATGTTTTTGAATCTGAAAATAAATTCAAAACATTTCTATTTTTTATGTTATTTGGATCAAATTGGTATAATTGTATTGAGTCGTAAAATATAGAATGCTGGACTTAACAGCATTATCTCAGATATGAATTTGTTTTCACTTTTATTACCTTCAGTTCGCTTAGAAGAACACGTTTAAGGACAAGAAGATGCACACGTAGAACAGAACTTTTAGTAAATTTCCGACTTTTAGCGACTTATAGTAAGAAAATTCTAAGTGAAATTAATGTTATAAGAAAACTGTGGCACATTCAGCTAAACAACTCGATGGATGAAGTAATTTTCAATTCAGATTCTGGTCTATCCCAATTCTATTACTGCCACTAATAAATAAATGTTAAAGCAAACAATGAATGATAAATACAATAATATATTTGTAATATCCCTATGATTTTCTGACGTTTCGTAACTCAGTGTGAGCCACTTCTACTCATTGGGTTATTACAAATATATTATTATTATTATTATTATTATTATTATTATTTATAACAATCTACCCAATACTCAATTTATTCAAAATTATCAAGTCAAACTTTGGTAATGATACCTACAAACATTCAATGAGTTTAGCAACTCCTTCCTTGATGGTTATTACAAAAAATAGTTTATTCAATTATTTTGATTGGCCTTACTTGTCAACCACTAGTAATTTGATTCTATCTATTTGAATCTGATTTTTCGCTCGTGATTTAAAAATTACAAAAATGTAATCTATTTTTCTAGACTAATTCTCAACAGATTCATAGTATAGAAATCGTTTTCCAACTATCAGTCTCTCTATTTATGTAATCATAACATGTAGTCGTGTGATTTTATAAATTTTTGATTTGTGTATCTCAGTGATTGTATAAAAAAATTGAATTCATTTTGATTTACTTTAAAAATAATCTATAAATATTATGAATGTAATGTCAAATCAAATAATGTTAGTTGAATGATATATCACATAGATAGTCCAAACTATTGGGATGATAATAATTGTATTGAAAGCCAACACCTATTACATTGCAGTTACGTAGTCAGTCAGTAAGCTACAATGTAGGACAAGGCACATATATCCATCGGTCCAAGTTGCCATACTTCATTAGCACAACAAGATGAACACCAAATTCATAGAAGTAGTTACTTCAATGGTAGTAATACATGAAAGACATATTGTGTATAAGGGTATAAAAAAGGGAGAATGAATTCGTCCATAGAAAGAAAGGTGTAAAGCAATTTTAATCTCACCATTTAAGGGCAGAAAAAGAGTTTGTACACCTACGCCATTGTGATGAATTCTGAGCCATGTCACACAGAGTCTCCAACCATTGGTTACAGTCAGTCAGTCACAACTTAGAACTTCGTACGTACGTACATCAGTTCTAGTTGCCATACCACATTAGCACAGAGATGCAGTTGTCGATTCAAATCCCATAGTGGTAGAAGTAGTAGGAGTATAATCAGAAATCCAAAAGATTAGGGTTTGAAGAAATTATTGAAGGAGTATAGTATAGTGAAATAAATTTGGAAAGAGAAAAAGATAAAGACATGAGGAATTCAGAAGATTAGAATTTGGTAGAACACAAAGAGTGGATACACCTTCGCCATTGCAAACGATTTTGAGCCATGTCATTCAAGGTCTCTAACCATCGGTTGCTGTCATCTCGCGAATCCCAACCAGGTAGTCTACACCTACCAACATGGCCCAGTCCACTTGTCAGTGACTTCATTGATTTGTGCCAAGTTTTGATCTGGCCACCCCTAGCTTTCTTCCAACCTACTCCTACACCATGAAACATTGCGCGTCGGGGCAGTCGGTGGTCGGGCATACGTAACACATGTCCCAGCCATCTCAACTGATGAAGTTTCACTACTTCATCAATCGATTTGCCATCCCTACCTAGTACTCGTTTCCTAACAGTTGCATTACTTACTCGGTGGTCCCAGGATATACGAGCAATGCTTCGAAGACACCTATGATCGAACACTAGTAGCCTACGAATATCCTCTACTCTTATTGGCCATGTTTCACTTCCATAAAGTAGGACGGAGCGAACTGCTGCACAGTAAACCCGTCCTTTTGTTGCTAGACGGATATCTCGCCTACGCCATAAATGACGCAAGTTGGCGAAAGCTAGACGAGCCTTCTGTATCCGTGCTGAGATTTCGTCACATACCAGACCACAAGGGCTGATAAGACTCCAAAGATAAGTGGAGCTGTCAACACGCTCAACTACTTCACTTCCTATCATTAGTTCAGGTGTCGCTGCAACCCAATCCTGAAGAAACATTTTGCACTTCGAGGGAGAGAATCGCATCCCGAACATGCCTGCATAGTAGCTTATAGTGGTCAGAAGACTCTGCATGTTGTCAGCGTCTTCACCGAGTAAAACTATGTCGTCGGCGTATTCTAAGTCAACAAGTGAGCCTCCTGGTAAAAGTTCAACTCCTGGAGGTTTAGCTGATGAAAGTGCTATCTCTAAAAGTATGTCAATGACAAAGTTAAACAAGAATGGGGAGAGTGGACAGCCCTGACGAACGCCACTTGTGGTAATCAGTTCTGATGACAGTTCGCCATAGGCTCTAACTCGACCAGTTGTGTTCGAGTAGAGAGCCTTTATGAGGTTAATGTACTTCTTTGGTACTCCTTTCAGTGACAAACATTGCCATAGAACCTCACGATCAACGGAGTCAAATGCCGCCTTAAGGTCAAGAAATACTAATATTGTTGGACGTCTGAATTTGTGTCTATGTTCTAGAACCTGACGTAGGGTGAATATCTGGTCTATGCAACCACGTCCAGGTCGAAAACCAGCCTGGTTTTCTCTAGTCTGCTCTTCACGAGCTTTGGTTAGGCGACCTAGTATTATTGAAGCTAATATTTTAGACACTATATTAGTCAAACTGATCCCTCTGTGATTGTCACAAGAGGACTTTTGTTCTTTCTTATAGACTGGCACAATCAGTGATTGGGACCAGTCAGATGGAATTACGTCCAGTTCCCAGATTCTACCTAAGACCTCAGTCAATCTCACTGCTAGTACTGGACCACCATCCTTAAAAGTCTCAGGGGTCAACCTGTCAGGGCCTGCTGCTCTCCCTCGCTTCAGATTTCCTATAGTTTTTTCAACCTCACAGAGGGTTTGAGGACTTACCTCAATCTGCCATTCAGGACGACTGGGGATCGTGGGTAATTGAAGCGTGGCTGAAGGCCAGTTGAACTGATCCCTAAAGTATTGATTACAACAGTCACGTGGGCCCCAACCAAGTAGTCTTCATCTGCCAACATCACCCAAACTAGAAGTTAGTGATTTTATGGACTGATGTCACGTTTCGGTTTGGCCGCCCCTAACTTTCAACCATCTTCAATACTAGTCAGCATAGCGCGTCGTGGTAATCGGTGTTCAGACGTACGTAACAGGTGGCCCAACCATCTCAGTCGATGAAGATTTACGACTTCATCCACTGATTTACCATCATTCCCTAATACCGTACATCTAACCTCATCATTACTTACTAGGTGATCCGAGCAATTACATAACCACCAGCTAAATATCCAAACTTATCGTAGATAAGTAAGAAGTTTATCAAAAATGGTCTTTATCACATTCATTAATACTTGAATCGACTTCTTTCATGCAAGTTTCTAGATTGTCTTTATCTCTTCATAATATTCCAAAACTATAAAATGCATTGTATATCCTATCTTGTTACTCTTTAGATCTTACTGAACAAACATGTTATTCTTATTGTTATGTTTCCTTTCTCGAAATCTGTATTTTATTTTTCATTTCAAGTAAGATGGACATTGGGAAACCTAACTTGCTATCTTTTTGTTAACATCATGATTTATTTATCTAATGCTATCAGTAACAGCATGATTGATCGTAAAAAGGGAGATATCACGTTGATTGACTTTAAGCAGTTCTTATGTAGGGTTAAATAATCCGTCTTTTTTGTCAAATTGTCCTCATAAAACCAGAATTTCTGTCTTCACCTTGTAGATGACATTACTGGGAACAAAGAAGAACAAAAAGCTACAAGAACCAATAACACAGATATTCTTCATCGAATTTTAGAAGAAGGTATGAAAATAGCTTCAAGTTGGTCTTCAGAATTTGGCTTGCGCCTAATTGGATCACATACCCTTCTAATTGGTATCGTGAATTTGATTAGATCGAGTGTAACTCGAAACATTTGGTCCGATTCTTTTATTTTCGTATGTGTATACGTTTTTAATAATATTATTCTAACAATAGTATTGTAATTTGTTGTTTTACTTAAATTTGTATTATATTTACCGGTGATATTTTAGCTACTTCTATTGTTCTTTAATATTAATATTACAGTTCATATATAAAATTCCCATTTAAATATTAGGAACACAAATTTTATCAAAGGTATCTGTTTTCCAAAAATTGATTATCAAGTTTTACAGTTGTACATATGCGAAATTCTAAGTATTAGTTTTATTACATCATATTTATTGATTGTTTATATTTCCTCACATGAATAATATTTAAATTTTTACACATTTACTGTTGTACAGCTTGATAGTAAATTCGGTTAAAGATTCTTTCACTTAACTTCATGTTTTATAAAACATGAACTAACAATCAGTAGTTCGTTTTGAAATAGTTTTGGCTATCCCATTGTGGGTATTTTTGACTGAAATATCAGTCTTGTTTGGCATACGGTCATCCTGTGCAGATTACTGCGATATATTCGTTATCAACTTGTGTAGTGATGGCTATATCGAGGAAATCCTCACATGCTCCCCATATAGCAACCTGGACTGATCATATTTCAGTGAAAAAGATCAACAACAATTATCAAAGCCATTTCAAATTGAGCTAAATCTCATACCCGTTGCTCAAATGAGTGTCTATCTGGACTCAGTAGCTAGGTGGATAATGCGATGGCGTTTAAAGAAGAGTACGACACTGGGTTCGAGCTATGGATTAAACATCAATTCTGAAATCCAGGTACATCTAGTTGATGAATCCCAAGTGGGATGAAATGCGCGTCCACTGCTAGTCACATTCCGTCTAGTCTATATTAACAATCAGTAGTTTTACATATCACGTAATTTCTGATAGACTATCCGATCTCTCTGTCTTATTTAGATTTATCATAAAGACTAATTTAATTCACTTATATTTTTGAAGATTAATAAATACGCTTTCCGTTCATTTAATTACAACAATTTTGGCATTAGTAATGTGTATATTTTTAAATTAGTCCTCATCATACTGTTAGGATAAAATGATAACTGATTATTAAAAGTGATTGGTGATCGGAGAAGATTACGACTGTGGCTTACCTGTTTCATTTAAGCTTTTTAAATTAAGTTGATCTAGAAAGTAAAGAAATCGTGTTTACTTCGATTTTTGATTTACTAAAAATCATTCACGTCCAAAGTAAGGCAAAAAATGTCGGTATACTTCAAGTGTTTGAAATGACACGCTTGTCGATGTCGACAATGATAATAATTCTAAATCCATGATAGATTTAATATAATTCTAGGTCTCAGTAGACATGTATAAAACTTGAAATACTCTCGAAATGCAATTTACTATCTATAAAAATCAAGTAACTATTTAGTTTCAGAGTAGATCTTTTATTTTCGATACAAATATTTATGTATACAATTTTTCCCAACCCAAATCCATTCCAATATCATGTTATTATGGTAAAGAAAACAGAAATCATTTCAATTCTCATTCGGAAATAAATAGTTAAACAATATCTTATCTTTTATATACACTTGTAACTCTATTGAACGTATGACTTTTGATTGAACAATCAAAAAATAGAGTTTCATCTAAAAAGTATTTAAAAAGTGTAAGTAATAAATTATCATTTTGAGATAGTGGGGAACACTTCACTTCTACCCAAATTTGTGCTTATGATGTCGCTCCACGACCAAACTATCCAGCTCAGAGAACAAAACTCCATCAAAATTATCATTTCTTTGATAATTTCGTTATCAATAGAATCAAGTCATTTGGATTATAAGACTCAACACTGTGTATGTACAATTAGAAATAAGGGAAAAAAGCAATTCTGATCTGTAACACGTCTTCTTAGTTTATTAATTTGGGTGTATTAATTTCATTTTTTTAATCCGCTTGTTTTTCTCTGATGATTCATTAGTTAAAATTTATTGTTTTCCAAATCTTTCACAGGACTTAGAAATTCAAGAACTCAATAATGATGCAGTTAATAATTGTTTCAATCTATGTAATAAGTGCTTATCTTCCAGTTTGAATTCAATACTAAATCCATCAGAGGGAAAGTATTTGGATCAACCATTAGCCTTATCTTTAGCTCTTGCTTTGCCTATTGAAGAAGCGACAAATGTAGTTCGTAATTTTGTCGCGCACAACAAGCATGCTCCGAAAAAAATTATGGCAAGAATTTTTCAGTTTAATTTTTTTCTCTAAAGAATACATTTAATGAATAATTTAATTACTTTGTTTATTGTCCTCAGTGATTCCATACGATAATTCACATTTTAAGATGTAAATCAAATCGTGGTGTTTGAAATGCTATCTTAAATTATCAAACATTGCCCTTAACCTGGCCATTTTTTCGGATTATTAATTTAGATACATAATTTTAGAACCTGAAGAGAATTTATCGAAAAGAATATTCTTTGCTCAAATATTCATCTTTTAAAGTGAATGATCTATGGTATTGAGGCATATAGCTAAAGATGCGCATATGCCAACAAATACTGATCAGCTACAGTTGTTGACATTAACAAATGAGAAAATACAACTCCTTATAAATAATATATGCTGTAATGTCCGAAAAATCAAGTATAATGATAATTTCGTACGCAGAATGATGTTTTTCAATTATATTTCCATAAAACATGAGGGAGGTTGGTTTGTAAGAAGTAAATATCTAGATAATTCACTGCTTGTTTAAAAATTGAAATCAATATTCTTCGGTCCACAATTATCACCTAATTCTGAGATTTGTAGTCGTCTTTAAGATATTATGTGCATGTTTATCATTCATTTTAAATGGAGTGTTTATCATAAAAACCATGCTTAAATTTTTACGTCATTGTTGTTTTTATTTACACACTGACTTTTCAAGAAACACTTAAGTGGTTGAACTGATGCTGTTTTTATATATTCCCTGAAGTGTTAGTATCTAATGAAATCTCAGAAAGCTCGGTTGGTATTTGCTAATTTGCGTCACTTGTGGGGTGTTGTTCGCCTTTTAATCAAATGGCTTATATATTGCTCAGCAGTGCGCTCTGATTGATTGATTCGCTCTATGGTGGTCAAACTGAAAGACATACCTAGGCTTCAGGATCTTGATCGCAGATGTTCGTTACTTCAACGGATAATAGGTTGATAGTTTCAAATAAATTGAGCATTGGATAGAGAGTTAATAATAAATATGTTTTTTGTTGTCATCCCAAAGAGTCATGAAACGTCAAAAATACAATTTCTCTACTTGACGGATGATGATTGCTTGTGCAGAAATAGAGTGGAAGGAAGCTGGGGGCAGCCAAACCATAATCGAGCATCAGTCCATATTGGTAAATGAAGACTATACCCTTTTGGTGTGTTTTATAACCGCAATCAATGGTCAGAGACGTTATATGACATCTTTCAAAATCGATCAAAATGGCATAGATGTATTTACTCATTATCTTTCTCTGGATTTCGAGTTTTAGTATTCCGTCATACATTCTTTTTCACTATGCCCCTTCAGACCATATTTCCGTCGACTAAACTTTCTCCCTATCACTGCTATTAAATTATTTCGATCTCAGTCAGAATTAATCTTGTTAATCTGATCTCGCGCCAATGTGCTACGATAACTTTAATTAACGAACATCTGTGCTATAACGTATGATGATTATGTCCTTCTATCTAATGTCATATCGTCTATTTAAGTCAACCACTTTATCACCTCTTCTTTTTCAGTCAAATTTTTTTCCTTTTCTTTGATGGTCATTCTCTCATAAAGCCTATCACTACATATTAATCCATCGGTTGAAATAGATTTCTCTCACCTACCTCTTATTTATTATTTACAGATTTCAACGTACTTTTTTCATCTCAGGTGACATGTGATTCCACATAAACACGATGTTTCCCTTCTTAGTTTTGATATAGCTTATAAATTATCGAATAAATACGTTGTTTTATCTCATTCCAATCCAAAAAATATGTGTTCAGTTTGAAACTTTTTTATATATTCCTCCATATAAGCTAACTGGCTTTATGTTGTATTATGCTGTTGTTTGGTATTACTGTTTGTATCTTCTTTTTCTCAGTTTATACATAATTGATAATACCACCATGATATTCTCTAATGCCTTGATCTGTCTAATATTTTCGTCATTTCGACTTTGGTATAATGGAAGGTTGTTATATATCTATAGATTGTTATATATCTATAGCTTGTTATGTTTCAATGGTTAATTGCCGTTTCCTCTATTTTCTTGTTTCTATTATTAGGCTGTAGCGAACATTATCTTTATGTTCTCTCAAATAACGTGTAAACGTGACATAAACCTATTGGAATTGAGTCAAACAATGGGTAAAATGTGGAGTTGGCATATTGTCTTGAAACCGTATAAAGTGTGTACATAAGTTGTTTGATTTAACTGTTTGTAGTTGTTTTTATTATTTAACATTATTTTTAGCTGTATTCAGTAATATGGATGTTGATTAACCATCGGTCACAATTCGTGTAGAACTTTTCCATACTTTGATTAGCTTGTATTCTTAATAACTGATAAATACTAACTTAATAAAAATAGTAACATGTAACTATCTTAAAAGCTCTTACAAGAAAATATGTTTATTATTAGCGTTTTGGTGTAATAACCAGATTTAATGAAACTTTTCATCTTTTAAAATTAACTGTTAACTAATCAACAGTACTGTTTTTGTTCTTTCAATTTTTGTCTTTTTTCCAATATGGCATCTTGTATCGTTTTCCTGTAGACAAGTATTATTTTCCCCCTTCAGTTTAGCTGATTTTAAAATCTGTAGTTATTCTGTTGTTTAGATAACTTTAATAAATGAAAATATATCTGGCATTTGCTAATATGTATTTACAAATCATGCGTGTTAGGTTGTTACAGAAACATATATTCATTACACTTTTAAGCAATATCAAATGTACAGTGAACTCATATTTCCTTACAGACTGTAACTTCACGTGGGTTGACGATAAATTCTATATGATAGTTTCCAATATTAAAACGTATGTTTCATGTTGCTTGGAGCCGATTAGGAGAACCTAATTTGTTCCTGTTAACTGTTGATCCTCTCATTGTGGTTTACGATATTCGTTCTTATGTATTTGTTATTATGAGTCAGTAATGTTGTAGATAGCTCGACTTATTTTGTACTATTTCATTTTGTATATGATAATTGAGACTTCTTTTTAAATTGTGTTAAAAATCATTATTTAATTATTTCTCATTCTTTTTAAATCAAGCTAAACTTTAGTCGTATAATTACACATGGAATGGATCACTCATCATTACAACATATACTTGACAAGTTATGCCGAATGGTACCATCGCTCAAAGAACAAAGTGTCTACCTTGTACCCAGTGACCTTCGAAGTAGTGAATCCATGTCAAAAAGATTGGACACGACTGAACGATCTTTACCGTCAATTAGATTGATTGCCAGATTTTCCAAAGATTTCAATATACCATTAAGACCTTATCTAATTAAACATTTAAATTTTTTATTTAAACCACATAATAGTTGTGCTGATTCTGCTTTAGGCGAAGAAGGGGATTTCTCATTCTCAGGACTTAGTAATAATGAAAATATGTTTTTACCAACATCTCAAAATGTAATCAACGGATCTGAAGGGAATTGTTTCATGTATGTTATTCTATCTTACTACTTTTAAGTTTATTCCTTACTGCATTTCAGTGATAGTAATAACTTCATTTTTGTTACTTTACCTAGAAATTACCTTCAGTACACTCACTTCTGGATTTGGATTTCATAAGTTTGCATCAATATTATTTAGTATTATAGACAGATTATGAGATAATCAATGAACAAACTTAATTATGTTCGGAATAATTTCTGAGAGTCATAATACAAGGTCAGTAGTTTAACGTACATAACTAAATGAAGGTAATAAAGTATGAAAAAAACTGATTTGTGCAAGTGTATAATAAACTTGTAATAGCTTTATGTTATCCACTTGGAACATAAAGAATTTCAGTCAGTTACAACGTAGGACCAAGCATATATATGCATCGGTCCAAGTTGCCATACCTCGTTAGCACAACACTAGGAACACTGAATTCATAGAAGTAGTTAATTTAATGGTGGTTATCTATAAAAGAAAGGTTGTATATAAGGATATAGTACGGGAAGAAAGACAGATATCAAACAATTTCAATCTCAAGGTTTAAGGGGAGGCAAAGAGTGTATACACCTGCGCCATTGTGATCGGTTCTGAGCCATGTTACCTAGAGTCTCCAACCATTGGTTAAGATAGTCACGCGGACTCCAACCAAGTAGTCTGCATCTACCAATATGGCTCAGATCAGAAGTTAGTGACTTCAAGCTCTGATACCACGTTTTGGTTTGGCCGCCCCTAACTTTCTTCCAACCATCTCCAGTACTAGTCAGCATAGCGCATCGTGGTAATCGGTGTTCAGGCATAAGTAACACGTGACCCAACCATCTCAGTCGCTGGAAATTTACAACTTCATTAACTGATTTACCATCATTCCCTAATACCCTACGTCTAACCTCACTATTACTTACCCGGTGATACCAGCAGATGCGAGCAATATTTCTAAGGCATTTGTGGTCGAATACTAGCAACTTACGAGTATCTCCTACGCTTAATGGCCACGTCTCACTACCGTGAATTAGAACGGAGCGAGCTGCTACACAGTATACTCGTCTCTTAATTGATAGACAGATACCTCGCCTCTACCATGGGTGACGTAAGTTGGCAAAAGCCAAGCGCGCTTTTTGAAACCGTCCTGAGATTTCGTCAGACGCCAACCCATTAGGGCTGATCAGACTTCCAAGATAAGTGAAGTTGTCGACGTGTTCGACCACTTCACTTCCTATTCCTTATGCAGGTGTTGACGCATTCCAGTCCTGGAGTAACAGTTTACATTTAGAGCGGGGAGGAATGCATTCCAAATATCCTGATATTGTTTTTCAGTGCTAACAGAAGATTCTGCATTTTACCAGCGTCTTCACCAAATAGGACTATATCATCGTGACAATTGGACTGAGCCATGTTGGTAGGTGTAGACTACCTGGTTGGGACTCGCGAGATGATAGCAGTCGATGGTTAGAGACCTTGAATGGCATGGCTAAAAATCGTTTGCAATGGCGAAGGTGCATCCACTCTTTGTGTTCTACCAAATTCTAACCTTCTTAATTCTTCATGTCCCTATCCTTTTTCTCTTTCCAAATTTATTTCACTGTATTATACTCCTTCAATAACATCCTCGAACCCTAATCTTTCACATATTGCTTATACTCTTACTACTTCTACCACTATGGGATTTGAATCGACAACTACATCTCTGTACTAATGTGGTATGGCAGCTCGAACTGTTGTACGTACGTACAAAGTTCTACGTTGTGACTGACTGACTATGTCATCGTATTCTAAGTTGATAAATGAACCTCCTGGTAGAAAATCGATTCCTGAAAATTCAGTCGACGAGAGTGTTATTTCCAGAAGTGCGTCTATGATGAAGTTGAACATAAGGGGAGATATTAAACAGCCTTGCCGGACACCACTTGAGGTTGCGAAATCAGACGACAGTTCGTCATAAGCTTTGACTCGACTAGTAGTGTTTGAGTAAAGAGCCTTCAAAAGGTCTACGTACTTCTGAGGCACACCTTTCAGTGACAGACACTGCCACAGAACCTCTCGGTCTATAGCGTTAAATGCTGATTTTAAGTCAAGAAAAATACATTTTTTGACGCTGACAAGCATACCTGTGTTCTGAAACCTGACGAATACTGAATATGTTGTCAATGCAGCCACGACCAGGTTTGAAGCCAGTCTGATTTTCTCGTGTTTGCAGTTCACGAGTTTTAGTTAGGCACCCGATAATTATTGAGGCTAGTATTTTAAATGCTATGTTAGTCAAACTAATCCCTCTATGGTTATTACAGGATGATTTTGGCTCCTTATATATTGGGACAATAAGTGATTGTGACCAGTCCGACGGGATTACGGCCAACTAGAGTTGGGGGACCTACTTCAATGTTCCCTTCAGGTTTTCTGGGAATAGTGGGTAAGTTGTAGAGTAGCTGATGGCCAGCTGAACTGCTCCTTGAAGCGTTCGTCCCATCGTTCTAAACGTCTAGGCTGAGAGCAGATAAGGATTTCGTCTTTTTCCGAGATTGTTTCGCTTACACTTGACTTCTTGATTCAGGTTTCTTTTATTAGTCTGAAGAGTTGCAGTCAAATGAGTCAATACTAGTTTGAACAGAGACAAAGCAAGATATGCATATGACATTGCAAAAACACATTTGTAAAATAGAATGTTTGAATGGCGTACAAAATATTTTACTTGTTAAAACCCTCCCCTCCTCCTTATCACGCTGTATTCATCAAAACATACCAATCAACGTTCATTTATCAAGATATTATTACTAGTCATAGTACTTTATTTTGTTAAAAGACATTCTCAATGTTTTTGTTTGTGCACAAATCATGACGACTGTTTTTTCTTCTCTGTCTATCTCTTTTTCTTAAAAGCCGTTATCAGAAAATTTGCTTGTCTCGCGCTCATACAATACTTAAATTATTATTCAGATCAGGTAAACAATCTGATAATCCACAACACTCATTGAATGAATTGGCTAATTTACTCCAATCGTTTTATGCCAGTACATCACCTTATGATTACGAGCGTTTGAGCTTTTTATTCTCATGGATTCGTACTTGTTGCTCAACGATGATCACAAATAAAGTCAGTTTGTAACTTTTTTTCTTATGACATTTTTTTATCCCGAATTAAAAGTTGTCAATAACACTGATTTTCAATTTCACTACTTACTGATGTATATACATTTTATTTACAAAAAAATAGGTCGATAATTATTCATCTTTACGTGCAACTGTGTGCTTAACCTTTTGCTTGAAAGTATCACACAAAGCTTACGGAATGAATGATCAGCATATAACTCCAGTGTTCTCATCATCGCTATCTTCAGTAACTATATCTTGTACCCTCAAAGTAGAAGTGGAAACTTTTTTCATATACACTTAATGCTTGGTAATAAAATACATGTTATATAAGTGTTACAAATAAATTAGTGTCAACAGAAATACCATTGATTACTAATCAAGCATGGTTGCTGCAATATTCAGTTAGTAAAAGAACTGATACTTTACCTTCTGCATCATGAGGTTACTCCTTGTTTATTATCATTCTTGAAAGTATTAATCAATATGTTTTATTTCTGTTTTCTTTTACTCTTTATAGCAACTTCAATTACTCAACTTTCTACGTACTTACAAACGATCTCATCCTCCTAGAGATTTTGAACTAGAACGTGTTTCTGCTACTATCGGAAATGAAGTAAATCGTGATAAAGTTTTTGTATTTCATAGCACTTGACTTCAAATTAAATTGATAACAGTTCTTTCATCATCTTAAGTTCTTTTACTATATTTCGACTGATACATTTAGTCTACTGCATCATCTACTTCAAGGAACTTGCGCCTATCATGATCTCTTAGCCGAGCTTTTTTAAAAGTAACATTTGCTGCTCAAGGTCATGTATCAAGCAGGTTGCTTGGATGATTTAAGGCAAATGCCAAGTTATATTAAGATATGGTTATAATATGGTGGTTCTCGTAGTGACTATTATCGTTTACTGCCAATAACATGTTTCAGAGTCAACATCAATCACGTATTTCCTCTTGAATTTCAAGAATTCATCTTGAAGCTACTCTCCAGTAATATGTGATTGTTGTTTTGATCGTAAATATGTAAAGACGAATCGAAATCAGTTGTCCACTTTCAACTGGTTTCTAGTTGTCATTATTTTTTTAATATCAACCAACTTTAAATATTCTCCACAACTTTCAGTTTAGAGATGTATATATTTGAGGTGCTTATTGAAAACAGGCTTAATATGAAGCTACAAATATCTTAAAAGTGCTCGTACACAAATATTTATCAACTTGGACATAATATATACCTTTACGTATGAAATGTTTACTTGTTTTTCTTGCTACCTTCAGACAATTATTTTTTCTAAAAGTGAAGGACATCATCACTTAAGCAATGTAAGAATGCCATATCATCAATTGCTGAGTGATTCATTACCAATTAAAATTATAGGTAAGTGTACTCCTTAAGTATAATAAACATTTATATACGTGTCAGTTTGCTCGACAGTAAATAATGTTATGATTAAACTCATCTCGATTTGGATTGTAAAATATTACTTATCTCATGTAAATATTCTACCACTGCCTAATTTTTTAAAGCATAATAATCATTTTACTTTCTCCGAATCAAGATGTGGGATCTATCCACGAATCCATTGGCTGTTACATTAAACCTTGTTAATGAAGTACTCACTGTTTGTTTAGGGTCCGCTCAATAGTCGTGATCAAATGTTGTGAACTGATATGCTTGATGCTACTACGAGTTGACCTTACTCGGTAAACGAAACGACATGATAAATTATTCTAATCCGTTGTCCCCGGCCCTGTTAACTAGATCAGGCGGCCTGTTTAAGCATCTGGGCTACCTGTTCCTGTCATCTAGATATTTCAACAAGTTATCTAATTTCGTTTGTTTTAATACATCATTATGTCTATTAATCGCACAACCTATTCAGGTGCGTCTCTGAAAATTGGTGGTTGCTGGCAATATGCAACGAGAAGAATGTACATTATCCAGCTGTCGATTGACTGGGCTGCTAAATTCTAACTAGCGATCACTCAATATTTATCGTCAGGAAGGACGAAGAAGTAAGAAACGGAAACTTATTGAAGTACTTTGTGCTGAGAATTCTATATTGTACCAAAAATATGGTATTGAATAAAGCTAAAAAGAATAATAATAATCAAGAAGTCTTGATGAGGCTTAGAAGAATATATTCAACAAGCACCCAGAAAGTACGAGTCACTAAGCACACAAATCAAGCTTATTTATACAAAGAAACAAACGCCCTTGGAAGAGCCACAAAATGGCTTACTAAAAAATCCGTCAACCAATAACAGCCAAGGAATTTCGAGTGGGGAATGTAAGCTGTAGGTAAACTAAGCGTTTTCCTGGCGCGAAAACACAAAATTCAAATTTTCAGAATAAAATTACAAAATTAGAACCTTTTCCAAGTGAGTTCTGGGGATTTAGCGTCCCCTAAATGAACAATGGTTGACATAGGTATCATTACCATGGTTTAACTTGATAATTTCGAATAAATTGAGAATTGGGTAGATTGTTATAAGTAAAAATAATATATTTATACTAGCCCAATTAGTAGAAAACTTAGATTTTTCTGATGTTTCGTGATTTGGTGTAAGCCACTTCTTTAAAGAATAAATAACCAAATCAAAATTAATCCAAGTTTAAGTAGTACAATTGTACTATTTCTTCTGGAATTATATGCCTACTCTTCTTTCTATGACTGATGCGATTACTATTTTGGTATTTTTCTTGATAATTTCATCTTACTTGTGCCCATGGACACTCGTTTCAGGTTCTATGTTGCCTATCACTGCAAATGTTCTTGTTTCCACCATCCTTATCAATTATTGGTGCGTATTTGTGCTGTATTGTCTTTGTCGATTACAATGGGTATTAACTATAAATCCAGTGTATCAATAATACCAAAACCTCATGTTTCTAAACTGTTCTTGTTTTGTTTTTATAGGACTGCGCATTCTATATTCATTGTAGTTGTCTTTGATTAGTGTTTTAGAAAAAAATATTACAAGAATAGCCAGACCAACACTCATTATCTGTTCATCAGATCCACTTCAGTTGTTCAGCTCAGACTCTCGTTGTGTTCTTACGAGAACTATAAATATTAGTTATAAAGTTCAAGTGATGTTTCTTATATTCACCAACAGTGTCGCCCATGAATTTACCTTTTGTCTTAAACGAATACAAGATTTCGTGCTACTTTATTGCCCTTAAATTTGCAAATTCCTTCATACTCTTTAAACCAACTGTTACACACTCTATATTGTATTAATTATTTGTTGTTATGATTATCTTCACGTTTTTGACCTCTTCGTTAACTTCTGCATGCTAATCAAGTGGACGATTAATTCTCATGAATTTAGTTTTTATTTTATGTTTTTCGTTAACCTCCAGATCATCAATAAACCCTCTTGTGACACTTAAAATTTCCAGATACTCCTTCATGACGCAATTCATTTTCTGTTCGTCCATAGATTATATCTGCGAAATCAGTATAAATGTGATTCCCTAGATTCAGTTAAATTATATCATTAAAAATAAAGTTTTACTTTAATGAATTATCTTTATATCTTCTTCAATGATACAGTGGATTGCCTTTTTCCTAAGTCCAATCATCGCAGTATTCACCACTTTATGTTTGCCAAATCCACTTTATTTTTCCTGTTTTCTTCCCTTCAACTTTTTCTTTCTTACTTTCTTAAGAGAAAGTCAAAAGTATCATTGGTGCTAACTTACACTTTCCCCTCCTTCCCCTCTTCTAGCAGTAATTCACTTTATTTTGGAATAATGTTTCTTTTCTAATATGAAATGATTCGAAAAAATCCAATATCTTACCACTATATATATAAAGAAGTATATTGAGCATTAGTTTCTGGTAATTTTTCCTTAAAGGTGCATTACCAATTAATAGAAATGAATCATCATAAATTTATTAATATTTCTATGTAATCAACTTACACTCAATACTATTTGGTAATATTTGTACTTTTGTTAAGATCATAATAAAGTTTATTATGGTTACAACACATATAGCCAACTAAATTAGTCTAATACAAATATTGAACGTTAATTTATATACAACCAATATTATATATTTCTTCATTTGTTTAATAAATCTTCATCCACATAATCTGTAATACATAAAGAAGTAAAGTTTCTTGTTTTAAAAGATGAAGAATAGTGGATCCATTACTGATTATGACTATAACACCAAACAGTATGCAATTCCACCTCCTGTACATAGTCAAAGTCATATTTATTAACTTACGAAATCTTTTGTCAGTCTAAAAATTTACATTCAACCTTTGTACTCTCTGATCTGCAATTTAATTATCCTATTCCTCTAATTATACGGGTTATACCAACTTCGTATTTGAAACGCTTTTCCGTAATATTTTATTTTAAAGTCTGCTTATCCTTTCTGTTCTTATGGAGCATTATCAAAATCTATGAAATTTGTAACTTCATATAATGCTTCTTTTTACATCACCATTAAATGTATATCGCATTTCATATTCACATGATTGTTTACTTGACTAATTATAACTCCTCAGCAGTGCGCATTCAATTGTCTTCAATGAGTTGATATCTCCACAACTGCTGAGGAGTCCCATAATGGGACGAAACGGCCGTCCAGTGCTTCCAGGTTTTCCATGATGGTCTAGCTTCAATTGACTCATGGTTTCAACTATGAAAATATTGAAATATCCACAAAAACCCCTTCTGATATATAATTGTAACTCATCACCTTGTGGTATTTGCTTTTCTACTATAGAATTAACTATGCATATTCTCTTAAATAATTGTAAACATTTTTTATCATACTTATCACTTATTTAGTAAATATTTCAAATCATTAAATCTTCTATCCTATCGTTTGTCTTCCATTTTTCAGGTTTATTTAATTTTATCAAAGGATATTACTGTTTAATATCAATAATATTTTTTTCATTTAAATCAAATTATCCCAAGACATCAAAATGTCACAATAAACTAGATCATCTTTACAATATTTACATTCGACTAGTTGATACTTTTATATTTCGATTTATTATTGTTGTATTTTAGGACCAGAAATTACTGTGTCTAATGTAAACTTTTGGCTTCGTGTAAATCAGAGCATGGAGGTATGTATAATCCTTTCTTAATTATCTAGTCACTGCATATAGTCGTTATAATATCATTTACTAAAAACGTTTTTTGTTCGATTTATGAATGCATGACTACGTCGCATTGTTCCGTCTGTGAGTAGTAGATTTTATAATAGAGAGTTGCATATTAATATCATTATACTGTTCAGCTTTAAAAATGTTCAACAATTAATGTGGTGTATATCGTGTTACATGTCGAAATGTCTTGATTTGTAAACATTAGTGCTGTTTTAAAATAATAATAATATTCCTATTAACAATTCCAAAGTATTTCATCTGTCTCTCATGAATGTTTGTTTATTGTATTATCGTACTCACAATAAGATGAAGTACCATTTATCACCCTTGGTTTAAGTTTTTGTCAACAGTTAACTATATCTGCCTTGTAGGTTGTTAGACAGATAAGTGTTTATTTATTATTTATTTAAACACATAAACATTGGTTCAAGGAGGCACCAAATATATATACACCACATAAATCATTCGATTTGCGTGAGGGCTGGGATACTTCCCAGTTGCCTAAACCGAAGCAGGTGGTTTTCTTAGGAGGCCACACACCGAGCCTTTGACCTAAATGTCTGATCCATAAGGCAGTGGAGCAACGTCGGGAGATATAGTCCCATGGTAGCCGGTGACCAACAATTAGTTCGTACGTCGCTTGTCCTCTCAGGATCCTAAAGCCCATGTACATCATTGGTTTGGAATGAGTATTTTCCAACTCCCCTAGGTGGCTCCTCAATATCCACCAACCCGGTTACAGCACCAGATATTCGCTTTTCGTCCTCCTAATTTTGTAATCAACACCCCCGCCGCGAGAAGGTAGTGAGTCGGACTTCCCTGGCAGTGGTTGTATGCACGTGGCCCTGTGAGAGCATCTCGAGAGAGGGAGAGAGAGAGAAAGATCTGACTGTCCCCATGCTCAGCCGTACCACGGCATTTCGAGGGCATAGATAGATGTTGGGGGATTTAGACTTGTTATTCAACTGATAACAAGTGTCAAAATACCTTTTGTTTCTAAGAAAAGAAGTAAGTTGCTAATTTCTATTGTAATTCTGTAAACATCTTGTTGTGTGTATCGTTTTTTGAGAGAATTATTTTTCACGTTCATTTCCTTCTTAATTATTACTGACTTACCTGATTAAATTATCTATGCAGATTAATTTATCTTGAACGGTATTCTGATGTTCATTTATTGATATATAATAATCGTTTGGACAACCGACTATTTTCAATACTTTTTTCTAAATATTCATTTAGTGGAACTCATCGGATTTGATCAAAATTACTGCTGCACAAAATTTAGCCAATCAATACACTACTGTTGGACTTTTGCCTATGGCTACTTCAAATTACGCAACTGAAGAGTTGTCAGTTCCACGATCGGTTGGCTGGGATAGAGCATTACCTTGTCAAATTCTCATTGAACCTCTTTTTAATCAACTTAATAGTATTTTAGAATCTGTGAAATCAACACTTAACGTCTACTCATTATTAGCTGGTATATTATTGTTATTATTATTATTCAACTTTATTGTCATTCAAGATTCCTTATCCTATTATTTATGTTAAGTAATTCATCGTTATTCTAGTAATGATATGATAAACAGAGTAACGTGAAATCTGTACTCCATTTATTATATGTACTTGTATTATTTATAAAATATGTTTATATTTTCAGGTCTTGCACGTCGAGTTATTTATGGGCCACATCGATTATTAATATTAAAATTAGCTCGGGATCTAGCCAAAACCTACCTGTTTAGAGCTGACAATGAAGCACGTTTTGCGTATGCTCAAAATAAATTGTCGTGTTCAGATCTTAAAACATGCTCTAACGATGAGTCACTGGACTTTGATTCAAATGAAGATCCAAAGGAAGTGAAAGAAAATATTCGGTTGGCTCGACTTGCTTTGGAAAAAGCTGAGACAAGTCATAAACAATTCGCAATTGAAGGTTGCCTTTATGAGCACCATCTAGCCGATTGGGAGGAAGTAAACAAGCATTTCAATAGGTGACTAACCTTCACAAATGAAGTTCTTTAAATATTTTTTCGCTGACGTTACACTAATTATCTATTTAGTTATATTACTTAATGCATTACATGTAGACTAGTGATGAAATATTAGCTTTTATTTTGGTGAATAAGTCAACTGAACTTTTTATCCAGGAAAGTCACCAAACTCTTATCTGCTTTTTTTGTTTTTTCCCATAACATCTAATTCACATGATACTGAATTTAAAAAGTCCAAGCGGAATATCAAACTAATTGAATAATAGATTAGTGAACATATTGCTCTTCAAAATTGGTTAAATTTCTTTACTGAAAGATAAATTCCCTATTGAATACAAATCATGGCTTAAATTAGTATCTAGTACATTAATAACATCCGTATTTATTATATTTTCTAGATATTTTTTGACCATTATAAGCATAAATCGCTCATTTAAATATTTTGTAAAATTCAACCCACCGGAAAATTAAGAATTGACCGTGATCTTAGTTTATTGACTGAAAACAGTACGAAGTTTTTTAATGCATCGTACTAACTATTTCATCATTACAAATGTGTCTTTGACAACTACAATTCACTTGGTATATTGTTATTTTATACTTTTAATAATGAGACAAGAAAACTGATCCCAAGTTATGGTAATACTATCTAGAATAATTTAGATTGTAATGATCAACATTTTATATAACTTGGAAAACTGAACTAATTCTTTTTTATAAACATCTTGTGATTTCAACTCTGTTTCTGCTCCTATTAACAAATAATTCACTAGCATTCCATTCAGTAAGTCTTATGTTTTCACTTCTTATCTATTTTCTTCAAACTAATTTCTGAAAATATCCCATTTTTAAGTTCAATCTTTATCTAATATAAACTTGAACTGTTTTTTTTTGTTTCAGTCCATTTGAGCTGATATTGAATTTACTGCATAAAGCGGCATCGGAACTACAACCATCAGTGACTTGGAACTGTAGATCAAGACTACCTATATCCGAATTATTTTTAAGACGACGAGTAATAAAAGCTTTGCCCCATATCGCAGAATTAGCTCATATAAATCTTTTGGATGTAACCAAACATATCATGGTCAATCGATTAAAACTTCCGTCTTGTATATTTATGAACGGGGATCTAAACGAAAGTTCCATAACAAATCGTAGCTTATTATTAGATATGACTACCGAGTGTGGTGAATTTTCTCCAAACGATATCAGCTTTAATGCTACCATGTGTCAGCCACAATTCAACAATGTCAAAATACTCGAAAATCAAGAATCTAACCAGTCAGAACCTAAACAGGAAGATTTCATGTTAGTGGAGCTTCTTCTTCAGCAGATAGAATTAAAACAGGAATTTCTCCCTATTCTCGAATTCTTTGTCTTCAATGGCACTCCAGACCAGTATGTTTCGGCAAGATGGCGTGCTGCTCGTTGTATCTTACGTTGTCAGTGTGGTCTTATACTACGGCCTAAACTATCACTTAGTGAACTGCGCTCTACGTTACTACGTCTGTCCACACTGGCTTCTTGTCCCACTCCTGCATCTCAACAGTTAGTATTTGACGCATCTTTCTCATGCACCTCTTCGCGAGGTGACACCTTTGATTCACTTTGTTGTGCACGTCTTATAAATAGTATTAAACAACTCATAGTTTCTTCTTCAAACTCCTTACAGACTATTCACCTCGCTTCTCGTTTGGTACTTGATTATGAAATTTTGTCTCCTCCTATTTTGACACAACTGTTTGAATTTATTAACTATCATAGTGAAAATGAGTCTCTTGATTATGCCTTATTTTTACTCATCTTCATTCAATCATCTGGTAACGTAAATGAAAGTATGAAATGGTTTTTTTCAAACCCTGTCAAACAAGGCTGCATGCTTCACTGTGTTCTGTCTTCTCTTGTTGATCGGATATCATTGAAGTTATTAAGTCCTAAACAGTCTGTTTCAAGGAAGGTGGAAAACTTTCTTAGTAAATTAGCTTGCTTCCTAATTTCATGGCCATTCCCAGACACGGAGATTGAAGCTATTTTCTCTGAACTGAGTAAATCAGTTATTCCCATGTTTTCAAAGGAAACAGTTGGATCTAATGTCTCGCTTCAACAAATACCAGTTATTATTGGTGGTTTTCTACATTTACTTGCAGTGAGTTGTTCAAGCAAGCATATGGCAATGCAGTTAAATACATGGTTTAATCTAGTAAGTTGATTTTATGTTGTCTTATTATCACTTATACAATAAAGCTTATTAAGTTAATTACTCTGAAGATTATATGTGTATCCCATTTATCCTAGTATTTATTGAGCATGGTTTAATTGTGAAAAGTCAACAGGATTCTACTTATTCTGGTGTTTGTCTTACCAAAATATTACTGCTGCCATTTCCTTCATCTTTTGTAATTACGAGTCTCATATATTTCCATTTTTCAGATAAATGGGGATGAAAGAAAACAGAATGCGGTCAGTTTGGTTCATGATGCTGTACAAGCCAGCGAAATTTGTCTGACATCGAGATTTCTTAGCATTTTGTAGTTTTCATAACTTTTTTTTGAAAAGAAAGCACTATTTGGAAAATATTACATAATTATCCTAATGTATTATAATAATATAAACAATGAATGTTCTAGATTCGTTTTAGATTTCTAGTTTGTTTTTCATCTTTTTCTCAAATGTTAATCCCATCTAAATTTGTTTAGGTCTTCACGAAACAGGTGATAACCGAAATACCGATTTACTCATAATGGACCAACTATCCGAGTGAATACTAGTATAATAATAAGTTAGAAACAATGTACGATTAGAAAGGGAATGTTCATACATCTCAAGGCATCCCATGACATCTGCGAACCGACGAAGTTTTAGCAAAATGACTAACAATGAGTAAATCTAGTGATGTCAATGACATTATCTTTAAAAGACTAAACATAAAATACGGCTCGATAAAACAATGTGAAGGTATATTATAAATAAACGTTTACATGCCACTGCAAACGATTTCGAGCAGTTATCCAATACCTTAAGCTGTCGATTTGGACAAGAACGCGAACTATAAATAGAAATTCTATAGCCGCGGATGGCTACTTTAGTCGATAAAAAAGAACATCCGACTTGCTACTAACAACAATATTTCTACTAATTATTAAGACTAATGTGAAAGTAGTCTTTGTCGCATAAATCATCGTATGTGTAAGTTATGTTGTACTGAGGCTTAGAGACCAGATAACCTTTACTGTAAGCCGAAGTTAATGACAGACCTATGAATTCTGAATACAGCACGCTAAGTGGATCTAACTTGAACCAATTTATTTATACTGAACGAGTATCATGCTTATCCGGTAATTCTACATACCTTGCTAAGAAATTTTCAGGGTCAGACGCCGATCTAGTAAAAAAATACATACACTACATAATTACCGGTAACGGGACCAAGTTTCTATCTTAAGAGGTATTACAGAAAGTGAATCTTGGTTGGTAAGCAATACTAACTTAATTACTGTGTACTGTAAACTTGATAGCTGTAAAGGCAATAGGAACCTCCATAACAGCATACTATTACACTGACAAAGCACACTTCCGAACTGAACCTCACAGATATTCCTTGGGAGGTTACCCAACATCAATGCTGTGCACGTGAGAAGTCTCGTGTAGTTCGTGAGTGACTTTAGGCTGTCGATCTGGTGGATAATACATCTTACCAGCCGGAAACTTTTGCTGCTGGTTAATACTGAGGTCGACCCTCCGACACACAACAATCATTCTTTATCGAGATGTGAAGCTGCCTCTTGCCTTAAATCAGATATTATTAGTTGTAGAAGCATCTTTTCGATGATACAATCCCAAGTAAATAGTCGCTATGATGCGTTTACATCTAAGTTACTAACTTGAGGAGCATCGATAAGGTTACACGTGACCAAACAGGTATAACCGTAATTCAAGAATGGTCCTTAAGGAACACAACAGCCTTATTAGCGTTTATGCAGACTAACAAGCATTTGAAACCTCTTTAATTCCGATTTATTAATATGCATTCAAAATAAAACGATTATGGCTCGTGAGCATGCCTCATCCAAGACAGTTCTTACAACACATCTAAAACGAAACAAATCAACTCATTTTGTTGAGAATACTTGTTTCAGTGCATGGCCACCCACTTCATAACAGCAAAAGATTTAGTTGTCTGACAACGCGTCAGATCAAGTTTATAAACTCATCTCTGACGGCCACACCTGTATACTCGTCTGAAAGACACAAACGACTGACACTAGGCACCTACACATAGTGAAGACGAACCTTGTGGGACGACTGTAATACACGTCTGGCCTGTTAGGTTTGATGAGCGACTTCACCCGAAATGGGGTTGGATTCTAAAAAACAGTTCGTTAGCTTCCCAACGGTCTGAACAAATACCTGCGTGGACAGACTGTCATAATAGTTGGTGGGACAGCCTACCCTTGAGTTCACACAAGCCTACTGCCATACTGCATGAGATTTGGCGTTGTAGACTAACCTAATTATCACTAGGGCCAATGGTATTCTAAGTAACAATTGTCTTGCGCCAGGATCGCGATTTCAAGCACCATATAAAGGAATAACTTGGCATGACAATAGTCGCCTAACAATTCGAAATGGCGAAGTGGATTTATGATGATGAGTGACTTATGTGACATTCTGAGAGCAGTAGAATGAGAGTACATAACTTAGCGCGATGAAAAATATGCAAGTTAGTTAGTGCAGGGAAAATCTGGTGACGCCGCGAAAAACATGGATTCTTCAATCACATTAACATACATCGACCAGCCCCTCCTCCACAATTTAACAAGACTCAACAGCTGAATATGAAAAAGCTGCTTTATGCAGAATAGTTAGTATGCGTGTAAAATAACAATGACTTGAAGTCTACATTAAATGCGATTACTCATCATAATCACCTTCTCGAATCTCATGGTCACCGTTGCTCCTTCCGTCCATTTCTTCGTCAGAACGTCTAGGTGTCCCAGACTCACTACGATGCGACACTGAACGCGATCGTGATGCGGACCGAGAGTGTGTATGCGACCGACCAGGAGACCTTGATACCACTGAACGTGATCTACTTCCAGACCTAGAATGTGAGACAGAACGTGACCTCGAACGCCGATCCAGATCATTTTTTATGCTGTTCTCCCTACCATTGCAGCTCGGGGAACGGGAACCAGCATCCTAAACAGTAATAAAGGTCGAATGAAAAAGCAAGACTTACCAAAGAGCGCTTGTTGCTGTGATGAGAATTGGATCTTGCATTGGAACGGTTTGTTCCGGAACGGCGTGATGGACTTCTTGACCGTAGGTCATTAGAATTTTCTCTGGAGCGCCTGTGCGAATCGTTGCCGGATTCAGATCTTTGTCTATCACTTGAAAGTGACCTATCATGTCGATGCCGAGGACTTCTAGACTTTTGCCTGCGATGAGAGTCTCGACTTCGTGAACGATGAGAATGACGACTATCAGATCGCGACCTGTAAGAGCCAGATCGTGACCTCTGGCCTGGTCGGTCTTCGTAAACACGTAGCCTGCGTCCATAAAGCTCGTAGCCATCAAACTTCTCGATTGCTTCTTTCATATCAGCGTAGGCAGCAAACTCAACAATGCTAGAATGGAAGTTACGGAAAACTGCACAACTTACCCGTCGTTCTTAGCTGACTTGTGTGCGTCCGCATAAGTAACTTCTCCAGCCTTACGCATCAAATCTTTGAGGTCCTGTACAAAAGAATAAACAACTGAAAAACCGTGCCCTGGATAATCAGCTAATATATATTACTAATTTGGGTTAAGCTAGCCTAGTACTTAAAAACGCGCGAGTAATTTACCTCGCGTTTTGATCTGACCACAGTACGAGACCACGTTACCACATGCTCGGCCGGACGACCGTTGAACGGCGCGACCAGAAACAACCCTGGGCGACTGACCATGGCATGGAAAACGACCAATCCTACGCGTCCTACGCCACCCGAAACGACCGAACGTCAACGAGCGGTAACTGAATTCGAGATAACAAGCAGTTAGTTACTTCTTGCAGTTCTTACAAACAATCAAACAACAATCCCTTACCTGCCAGCTCACACGCGACGAGAGATTTTCAACAATAACACGATACTCCGTCCTAGTTGGCGGACCGTACCTGCTGTAACAGATGAAAGATTAGTAATGAAGCTTACCGATCGCGACCACTGCCACCACCACCTCCGCCACCACCTCCACCGGCTCTTCTGCTGCCGCCTCGAGTGCCAGGAGGAAGGCGAGCATGCTCAACGATCAACCGTTCACCTCGCAAGTCTCTTCCATGGAGGTCATATACGGCATCGTCCGCATCTTTTTCATTATCAAACTCCACGAAGCCATATCCATTCTTAAGAACGATGTCCCTTAATCGTCCATAACCCTTAAAGAAGCGCTCAATATCTCTCTCGGTACACCGCGGAGGTATACGGCCAACGTACACTCTTGACATATCGAAACTGACAGCCAGAAGCAACCATACAGAACTGATTCAAACAATCAATCACAAACTTGGCATCAAATAATATCTCAGGAGATGATGATTCTTGTTATGTATGAAAACTTTAATACATTTTTTTCTTTAGTGACATCTTTTGCACATCACATGATGCTGAATGTTTCAATGCTAGAATAATGATGCGGTGAAATTATTCAAAGAAATTCCTGTTGCAAGTCCCTTATATGTGAATAATGTCCCTGGGAACATAGATTTTCGAATTATATAGATATTCTTTTTTAGTAATTATTTTAAGTCAAAATGAGAGACATTTAGTTTGACTTGAAGACCCACAATCTCCAAAAAACCTAGATGAATTACTTTTTCAGGGTTATATGCAATACTTCTTTAGCTTTTAACCTGTTATTTCTAGTTATCCCAAGTGTCCATTTCATTTGTTAACAACCAAATAATTAATACACGGTACTGGACGAGTATCTCGTTTGCGATGTCTTTTGGACTTCCTTCCAAGTGAACTATTTCGTTGACTTTACTTAGATAGAGCAAACTCTTTAGTTATCACTGAGGTCACTTCTCTCTTATACCTCCAAGGTTTTGCAGCAGAAAGATATGTCCGTAGTCTTTGTCTTTGGTAAGTCTATTTTCTACGAGCAAGATTATTGGAGAACTCATCAAGGGGGATACCTCCTAGTTTGTCGAAAAACTTACGTAAATATTTGTCGGGAAAGAACTTTGAAACCATCACAAGTCTTAAAGTTCAAGATATGGCTTATCATCACTGATGAAAATGCGTCTGGGTGTCCAAAGAATATGTTTGGACCTGTGAGCAGTGTCAGAATACCTGTGAAGAAATAATTTAGTGATAACATCTAGTAGCAAAGATGCCAATATATTGATGATTGTCATGAAACAGACACGGTGAATTGTCACCTTTCTTGATGTGCTGTTACACGTTTCTAAATGTGCTACTTCTGTGAACTTTTAAAGGCCATAGTTTGTTTCCGAAAACATTTAATGACGCTGTAGGTAGTAGCAAAACATAGGCCTTCACCGTGAAAACGGAGTTCCATGTCCTGACGGATATTGAAACAGTCTTACAATCAAAAGTGATTTTTTCTGGCTGATAGTTTGATCCTCAAGGTAGGAGGAGACACAAGTTGCGTTACCATACATCTCCGTCAACTTTTAGCAAATCTGTATTTCACTGTTTATCATATATTTGGCATCAAGCATTTTCTGACTTTTTCCGTCCATCTTGTGGGTGAGTGTTGTAGCAGCCTACATCAAGTGGTCAATAGCAAGTCATATACCTTCTATTAGGATTAAAACATCCCAGACGAAAAGTTGTTTGCTTCCTTATTTTGCGCAAACATTACATTTTCTATCTTTCCGTACTGAATAGTGAAACAGTGACAGTCACTTTACAAGTGAAAAGGACACCGCACATATTCCAGTAACTTAAGTCTGTAGTGACTGCAACAGCACTAAATTATCTCCACAAATCAGCCACAAGGCCCGATCTTCGTTATTTTACTCCACAGGACACAGAACGTTAGATAGACAGTGAAAAGTAATGGGAATCAATCAGGTAATGATTAACGAGGACACATGGCCCGGCTATGTAAACATGATTATTTTGAAATTATCTCTTCTATCTTCATATAAAATGTATTATTTTACTTTTAGGATAGTATTCATCTTTTCAGTATTCTTAATAAGGAGTACCCCCTGAGTTCTAACACAACCTCGCCAATATAAAAACCACAAACGGTACTTAAAACTGTAACACTTCGTAGAAACTATCACAAGGTCGATTGGAAAAACTTCCGAAATTGCTTAGGAAGTACCAACTTAGCGAACCTTCTTTACTGTAAACCGTACTGACACACTATTCTATTACAGCACCATTAATATCTAACAAAATCGCACCTTTAGAATCTCGGAAACCTACGTTTTCCCAAAATCTGTATATACCGATCGGTACACAAAGACGTCCTCAAAGACATTGTACTCGATTCCACAACCTTAATGAATTTTCCTCTTTGGTTACGAAAACAGAAATATTAGTCCAGACAGAGGCAGTACGTACACAAAAAACACTCGCGCAGGAAAAATGTGCTATGCAGTTTAATAATGACTCCTCCGCACTTGTAGTGACCTACTTTTATGATGAGAACGCGATAGATATAATGGAAACAATTATTATTATAACCAATTACACCAGTGATTGTTTTACTGTACGTGTTTGTTTAAGTGTACAAAAAACACATTCTTCCGTTGCCTGTGACCCTACACGAACTCGTGTACGCTCGGTAGTTCCGCTTGCAAACTTAACACGATCTCGGTATTTTTTCGATACCACAAGATTGCCAACAAATATATCTTATTGCAACCGTCAACAACCTTCTGGTTTTTGGTCTACGGAGGGATAAAACTTAATATCTGTCACATAGTCTTCCTGTGGTGGCAATCATAGTCAACCGCGCCTCGACGTCAACTACGCATTTATCATACTTCTCCAAAATAAACTTAAACGTACTATATCGAAACGAAGGAACGTATTTATCAGGGACAAACAAGTATGCAAAGATCCTAAACTTGTTACGGAACTATTTAGTGAACACTTTCGTTTCCCAATAACTGATGAAAAACCACTAAATAATTCAAAACTAATCCCAGCACCTCCCCATGAAATTATTAGTGTAGACTTCAATGTACGAGATATCTCTAGGGCAACTGGTACATTGGAACACTCCTACACTGATGGATCAGATGGTATTCCGGCTAGCATGCTAAAACGCGGAGGCTATCTGAATGACAAGTACAATGACTCTCATCACCGAGACCGATAACTAGTGGAGTCATCCAGGGGAGTGTATTAGGTCCACTCTTGTTTCTTATGTATATAAAAAATATGTGTAACACCATGAAATTGGAGAGACCATACTTATACGCTGATGGTCCCAAAATATTATACAGCTTGAAGCTTGAAGCTCTATGTGAAAGTGTATCCCAGATTCAAAGTGACCCCAGTAATCGAGCTATCCAGAGCAAAAGATGGCAATTACCATTTAACCTCAACAAATGAGGGACCATGCGTCTTGGAAAACATCCCCATGAACTAAAACTTTACTTGAATAAAAGTAGAGTTCAGACACTGAAATCAGTGCATGATCTAGGTACCAATTGCACAAGAAACCCAAAATTTTAAGAATATGCCTCCTTTATTGGTTTCATAATCAAAGATTTCTTCAAAGTAAAGACTAAGTTTACCCTTTACGAAATATGTATACGACTTTTCCTTGAACATTGCTCTTTTATTTCCTCAAACATGAATACTACAGACAAGATGAGAGCAGAAAATGTATAGATACACTTAACATGCCGACTGCTATGAGGTGACTCCACTCCCAAATACACCCATAAATGTAGGGACTTCTCCTTGGAACCTTAATGGTGTCGTCGGCCAGGGAACAGTCTAATATTCCTCTACAAAGCAATATATAGACTCACATTTCTAACCTCCTACCCAATCATGATCTATAACCCGGTCTACAGACTATGCATGTACACTATCTATAGTAAAACAGCGAAAACAAATTAGTTGTAATTTTTTGCAGTACGGCATAGTTTGCTATGTAACAGGTTGCCAATACCTATCCATAACTTTGAAACCATCACCAATTTCAAAAACTAATAACTTTGTTAATTAACTCTGAAGAGCTTCATCAACTAGTCCACGATCTTATGCCCACCAATGAGGCACTTTATTGTAGACCACCTAATATCGAGACTGGTAATGAATATAACGGACCACATTGTCATTAATATGAACATAATTTAGTGATAGAGCACATGGTTTACCCTCCTTATTGTTCATTGATTATTAATCATGCTCTTATGCCCCTACTCCCCACTTTCGGATTCCGAACCCCTCTAATGTTTAAAGTTGCATTATTCTTCCCAAGTATTATGTCTTTTTTTCTATTACAAGTAGACAGATAACTCATGCACTTTGTGGATGTTCATCGACTATGGCCGATCATAGGAAGCTCATAATGTCCTAAGTTCTAGTGAGTAGCTCAATGTTTTATTTTCTTACTCTGAAAATCCATAATCATATACTCTCTCATATTCCTTTATTTGCTATCTCTCCTTACCATCTCTAAACCACATATAATCTGACCAGTATCTCATAACTTATACCATTGGTTATCGTCATAGCAGTGTGATATAACAAATGGATGTCTAGCCCTCAATACCGAAAATTTAACCACCTGATTTGTTTGTAACAAGAAACCAGTAGAGCCAGTGTATTCCGACAGTATTCCTACACACCACAAACGTAAGAGAGCTGATATCAGAAAACGAAAGAGGGTGGCGTAACTGACGAGCAAACATGATGGCGGGGGGATAACTTCAATCCACCCGTGTCTGTAGGACAGTACATGTTGTTAAATTAAGGCTTCTTATGGTCAAATGGAATTTCATGAACCAATGGTGTTGATGCTAATTTATTGTGCGAAATACCTCTTTATGTCGTGTTCGTAACACTGGATTGTTTTTAATTCCTACTGAGTAATCCTATTACATGCAAAACTGGACAATTCGCTGAAGCCGGGGCCTGCTGATGGCCCCAAAAAATAAAGAATGAGCTGAAATAGCTTTGACAAGAAAGGGAGATAGAAATTTGTATGTCGGAATACTGTTTTTGGTGCTATATTTTAAAACCATGCATATTCCTTTACTTTCAGCTTCTTTTCGAACCACCTCCGTTTATACAGTTCTTCGTTCAGCTACACCATATTTACGGTCATATACTTTAACCTATTACGATGCTCTTGCTTCAAAAGTACCTTAATGAAAGAGAACTAGAATAAGTAGCTATATCTTTACTGTTTCACGACAAATGAGTCAACTTCAATAGTCATGAACATTGTCTCCTCCGCTTCTCGTCCTTTTTTTCTTATCCTCCCTGTCAGCCCTCTCGAGATACGTCATCG